CCAACAAACTTTATCTAATGCTGGTAGACCCGTCCAACAAACTTTAGTGCTGGTAGACCCGTCCAACAAACTTTAGTGCTGGTAGACCCGTCCAACAAACTTTAGTGCTGGTAGACCCGTCCAACAAACTTTATCTAGTGCTGGTAGACCCGTCCAACAAACTTTAGTGCTGGTAGACCCGTCCAACAAACTTTAGTGCTGGTAGACCCGTCCAACAAACTTTAGTGCTGGTAGATCCGTCCAACAAACTTTAGTGCTGGTAGACCCGTCCAACAAACTTTATCTAGTGCTGGTAGACCCGTCCAACAAACTTTATCTAGTGCTGGTAGACCCGTCCAACAAACTTTATCTAGTGCTGGTAGACCCGTCCAACAAACTTTAGTGCTGGTAGACCCGTCCAACAAACTTTAGTGCTGGTAGACCCGTCCAACAAACTTTAGTGCTGGTAGACCCGTCCAACAAAGTTTAGTGCTGGTAGACCCGTCCAACAAACTTTAGTGCTGGTAGACCCGTCCAACAAACTTTAGTGCTGGTAGACCCGTCCAACAAACTTTAGTGCTGGTAGACCCGTCCAACAAACTTTATCTAATGCTGGTAGACCCGTCCAACAAACTTTAGTGCTGGTAGACCCGTCCAACAAACTTTAGTGCTGGTAGACCCGTCCAACAAACTTTATCTAGTGCTGGTAGACCCGTCCAACAAACTTTAGTGCTGGTAGACCCGTCCAACAAACTTTAGTGCTGGTAGACCCGTCCAACAAACTTTATCTAATGCTGGTAGACCCGTCCAACAAACTTTAGTGCTGGTAGACCCGTCCAACAAACTTTATCTAGTGCTGGTAGACCCGTCCAACAAACTTTATCTAGTGCTGGTAGACCCGTCCAACAAACTTTAGTGCTGGTAGACCCGTCCAACAAACTTTATCTAGTGCTGGTAGACCCGTCCAACAAACTTTATCTAGTGCTGGTAGACCCGTCCAACAAACTTTATCTAGTGCTGGTAGACCGGTCCAACAAACTTTAGTGCTGGTAGACCCTTCCAACAAACTTTAGTGCTGGTAGACCCGTCCAACAAACTTTAGTGCTGGTAGACCCGTCCAACAAACTTTAGTGCTGGTAGACTCGTCCAACAAACTTTATCTAATGCTGGTAGACCCGTCCAACAAACTTTAGTGCTGGTAGACCCGTCCAACAAACTTTAGTGCTGGTAGACCCGTCCAACAAACTTTAGTGCTGGTAGACCCGTCCAACAAACTTTAGTGCTGGTAGACCCGTCCAACAAACTTTAGTGCTGGTAGACCCGTCCAACAAACTTTATCTAGTGCTGGTAGACCCGTCCAACAAACTTTAGTGCTGGTAGACCCGTCCAACAAACTTTAGTGCTGGTAGACCCGTCCAACAAACTTTAGTGCTGGTAGACCCGTCCAACAAACTTTAGTGCTGGTAGACCCGTCCAACAAACTTTAGTGCTGGTAGACCCGTCCAACAAACTTTATCTAGTGCTGGTAGACCCGTCCAACAAACTTTAGTGCTGGTAGACCCGTCCAACAAACTTTAGTGCTGGTAGACCCGTCCAACAAACTTTAGTGCTGGTAGACCCGTCCAACAAACTTTATCTAGTGCTGGTAGACCCGTCCAACAAACTTTAGTGCTGGTAGACCCGTCCAACAAACTTTAGTGCTGGTAGACCCGTCCAACAAACTTTATCTAATGCTGGTAGACCCGTCCAACAAACTTTAGTGCTGGTAGACCCGTCCAACAAACTTTAGTGCTGGTAGACCCGTCCAACAAACTTTAGTGCTGGTAGACCCGTCCAACAAACTTTAGTGCTGGTAGACCCGTCCAACAAACTTTATCTAATGCTGGTAGACCCGTCCAACAAACTTTAGTGCTGGTAGACCCGTCCAACAAACTTTAGTGCTGGTAGACCCGTCCAACAAACTTTATCTAGTGCTGGTAGACCCGTCCAACAAACTTTAGTGCTGGTAGACCCGTCCAACAAACTTTAGTGCTGGTAGACCCGTCCAACAAACTTTATCTAATACTGGTAGACCCGTCCAACAAACTTTAGTGCTGGTAGACCCGTCCAACAAACTTTATCTAATGCTGGTAGACCCGTCCAACAAACTTTAGTGCTGGTAGACCCGTCCAACAAACTTTAGTGCTGGTAGACCCGTCCAACAAACTTTAGTGCTGGTAGACCCGTCCAACAAACTTTAGTGCTGGTAGACCCGTCCAACAAACTTTATCTAGTGTTGGTAGACCCGTCCAACAAACTTTAGTGCTGGTAGACCCGTCCAACAAACTTTAGTGCTGGTAGACCCGTCCAACAAACTTTATCTAATGCTGGTAGACCCGTCCAACAAACTTTAGTGCTGGTAGACCCGTCCAACAAACTTTAGTGCTGGTAGACCCGTCCAACAAACTTTATCTAGTGTTGGTAGACCCGTCCAACAAACTTTAGTGCTGGTAGACCCGTCCAACAAACTTTATCTAGTGCTGGTAGACCCGTCCAACAAACTTTAGTGCTGGTAGACCCGTCCAACAAACTTTAGTGCTGGTAGACCCGTCCAACAAACTTTAGTGCTGGTAGACCCGTCCAACAAACTTTAGTGCTGGTAGACCCGTCCAACAAACTTTAGTGCTGGTAGACCCGTCCAACAAACTTTAGTGCTGGTAGACCCGTCCAACAAACTTTAGTGCTGGTAGACCCGTCCAACAAACTTTAGTGCTGGTAGACCCGTCCAACAAACTTTAGTGCTGGTAGACCCATCCAACAAACTTTAGTGCTGGTAGACCCGTCCAACAAACTTTAGTGCTGGTAGACCCGTCCAACAAACTTTAGTGCTGGTAGACCCGTCCAACAAACTTTAGTGCTGGTAGACCCGTCCAACAAACTTTAGTGCTGGTAGACCCATCCAACAAACTTTAGTGCTGGTAGACCCGTCCAACAAACTTTATCTAGTGCTGGTAGACCCGTCCAACAAACTTTAGTGCTGGTAGACCCATCCAACAAACTTTAGTGCTGGTAGACCCGTCCAACAAACTTTAGTGCTGGTAGACCCGTCCAACAAACTTTAGTGCTGGTAGACCCGTCCAACAAACTTTAGTGCTGGTAGACCCATCCAACAAACTTTAGTGCTGGTAGACCCGTCCAACCCCCCCCCCCCCCCTATCATTGTGTACCAACAGTTTCAAAAATAGTTATCTTTAGAGAGTCTCTCAACTGCAGAATTTCCTAAAATAACTTTTGATGACGTCTGGCCATGTACTTGTGGGTCGTAAAAAAACAGAGTCTGGCCACGCATGACTGACTCGACAGTGCTGAAACACTGACATACAGAAGTCAGGGTCGGGACTAACTCGATCAAGCGTGACGCAGGTTGTCACATGACGCGGCTAAATTATTCGGGACTTTCTGGCTGCACATTACATACCATACATCTTAGATACCGGCCACACAACTTCACTGCCGGCACAAAATCTAATTTTCCGGCCACACATCTAATTTTCCGGTTACACACAAAACAACCGACATGCTTACAAAGACCATCAGGCTGACTAAATACGACAACCACAGAAAACAAATAACCGGAGGAGAAAATCCTAGGCTGCGATTGACAAATGGAGAAACACACCTACGGTAGTTTTAAGTCCTTAGGGGTCATCCATAAATGACGTCACACTCGTAGGGGGGAGGGGGGGTCCGTAATTTTGTGATGAGTTGGAAGGGGGGGGGGGAGGGTTCAGATGTTGCGACATCACATTTTTGCATTATAAAAAAGCAATGTTAGAAAATGAATTTGAGACGTTATTTCGCGTTTTAGATAACTGTTTTAATAAATTGTAATAGTTTAGACAAGATTTTGGAAAAATATCGATGTTTAAAAAAAATTCAACTGCAATTTTGAGGGGGGTTGTAGGTTGAGGTGTGACGTCTGGGAGGGGGGGGGGGGTCTGGCTTTTTGTGACGACGTGTGACGGAGGGGAGGGGGGAGGTAAAAATCGTCAAAAAAGCGTGACATCATTTATGGATGACCCCTTACAGCCTTGGTGACGTACGGAGGCTTCGGACCTTACGGACCCTACTAAAGGGAAGTGTGGGTTTGGCTGTTACCTACAGATTTTGTTACCTACAGATTTTGTTACCTACAGATTTTGTTACCTACAGATTTTGTTACCTACAGATTTTGTTACCTACAGATTTTGTTACTTACAGATTTTGTTACCTACAGATTTTGTTACCTACAGATTTTGTTACCTACAGATTTTGTTACCTACAGATTTTGTTACCTACAGATTTTGTTACCTACAGATTTTGTTACCTACAGATTTTGTTACCTACAGATTTTGTTACCTACAATGTAACGTCAGTTGACTGAACTCACGAAAGGCCAGAACAATTTTTTGTTGTCGTACAGAGTCGCCCAGCTTCATCAACATACGGCACGGTCAAGGTCACTCTCCCACGTCCGTGAGTAACGGTGCGTGAAATAGACCTGCAGACAAACAACCTGAGTCTGTCTGTACCTGACACAAACAGGTGTGTCACTGACACAAACAGGTGTGCCACTGACACAAACAGGTGTGTCACTGACACAAACAGGTGTGTCACTGACACAAACAGGTGTGTCACTGACACAAACAGGTGTGTCACTGACACAAACAGGTGTGTCACTGACACAAACAGGTGTGTCACTGACACAAACATAATTTCTCTGCCTTCAAGAGTTTTCTGGTGTGGATAATTCAGGCTTAAAAACTTGACCTTGAATTTTGGAACAAATGATGTCTGCTAACTTATTCCATCTGGTGGGTGGGTTGCATGGCGTCCTAAAACGGGTTCAATGTCAGTCGAGCATGCGCAGTAGTCGCAACAGTAACGTCTGCTTGTTTGTGGGTCTGTCGGTTTCGGTTGACTGATTTTCACTTTTGGCACTCGTAGGGCTCCAGATATTTGCGTGAGATTCAAGGTCGCGGCACATTTTCTCAGCCCGCCTGCCGGGAGTCACGTGGGTCTAGTGACCGGATTACCGCGCCGCTGGTGTCTGGTATAAAGAGATTAGTCGGGGAGATACACGTTAATCAAGTGATAACAGGCTCGGCTGTCTGTCCGAAGGTTGTCTGACCAAAGCTTGTCTGTACGTCTGCTACACTTTTGTCTGTCCATCACTGGCGACCCGTGTTTGACCCATCACTGGCGACCCGTGTTTCTGAGCGCTGAAAGACCGGCCATAAGGACCAGATCTCTGACCCGTGCTTGTGTGACCCTTGTTAGTGCAACCCAGCGTCCATGCGTAAACTCACAAGGGCAACCTTGACCTTTATGTCAGCTGTTGCAGCGTACCTCACGTGCGTGTGTCATGGCACTAGTTACCCAAAGTTATGTGAGTACCTCATTCACTTTTTTTGTGAGTACCTCATTCACTTTTTTGTTATGTGAGTACTTCATTCACTTTTTTACTTTCTCGTATATACGAAGTATAGAGAAAGTCTTGTAATCGTGCAAAAAAAAAGAAGTTTTTTACAAATCTCGACGTTTTACACCTCACTGATACGAAAAAACATAATTTTGTAATCTTGTTTGTATGTCTGTGTGTCTGTGTGTCTGTGTGTAAACACGATAACTTGAGTACCGTTACAGCTAGGTTGATGAAATTTCATAAATAAGTATTTTATCAAAATCGTAGATCCTGATCAACTTTTGAGCGATTTCCGATAACCGTAAGTGGTATTTTTTACTTTGAATTTTTCAAAAGCCTATAACTTGAGTACTATTTCAGATAGATAAATGAAATTTCACATGTAAGTAAAATATCTAATTCTCTACCTTCTGTCAAATTTTGAGTAATTTCCGTTGACAATTTCTCAAAAAAACGCTTGTAAATTTATAAAGTACTAATAATATTCCGCACTATTATGCATATTTTGTTTTGGCGTTCGCTTGGTGCGCAATTCTTTTCTACGAGACTCTATTCTATTTTTAAAAGTTTAAGTAATTAAAAATCATGTCTATATTCCGAGTTGCCATCCCAGGTAGTGTTATATAAGAATATTTGAGAAAGTTTAGGGGAGATCACTCCCGGTTTATTTTGTTATGTGAGTACTTCATTCACTTTTATTGTTATGTGAGTACTTCATTCACTTATTTTTTTATGTGAGTACTTCATTCAATTTTTACAAGCTTTTATTTAACTTGCTTCCTGTGTCTGTCTTTCGTCATAGATCAAAACAGGGGAGAGAAATTTCGGGCACTTCAAACCGACCGATTTCTGTGAAATTTGGCACGTAGGTCAAAATTATAAAAAAAAAATTCAATAGGACATTAAATTTGATTTCATTGAAGGCCTTTTTTTATGATTAAGTTAACATTTTCCGAAATTAGTAGGCTGTCCTACTACTCTTTCCGCACCATTACACGCGAATTATTATGTTCATTTGGTGCGCACGCTTTTTACTTGCATCGCAGTGTCTTATTATAAGTAATAGAGCAGGGTTTGTTTATATAACGACTTACATTTATTTTATAGTTGCCACTGTTTTTACTCTTTTGCGTAAGGTAAAGAAAATATTAAATACACAAAAATTGCTAAAACATATGAACGGATCAATGTCAAATATCCTTTTCGTTTAGATTCCTAGAAAAAGTGGATACATTTTAATAATAATAGGTTTGAAAAAACTCATTAACTAAGCTGTTTTGTAATTTTGCGAAGGTAGGTAATTTTAAAAATAAATTCAACTCACGCTAATACAAAAATGTGAATGCAAAATCTCTAAGAGGGAATTATTGTTGGAATAATATAATTAGCAACACGTGAATGCAAATTCTGCAAACGTGTGAGAGGACTTTATTGTTGGACTATTATAATTAGCATGGATTGATAAAAGGCCATCTTTTATTTATTTTATTCACTGGACGTACTGTTTACTAATTATAATTTTTAATCAACTATTCTGCACTATTATACACACGTCATCAAGTTCATTAGGTGCGCAATGATTTTAGGCATGAAATTCTATTGTAAATAAATTTTTAAAATTTAAAGTACTGAAAAAAATGCACGAATTGATAAAGTGCAATATGGTAGGTAAAACAAGGATATTTTAAATACTGCCTTTTATTTATTTTATACACTGAACGTACTGTTTACTAACTATTATTCTATCTCTCCGTTTGCGGACAAGCTAGGGGTTTTATAGTCACTGAATCAGGCGCGTCCACCGGCGCTCGGACAGTGTGCGATTTGGCGCCACGGGCTAAACTGTGAACACTATGTGTTTATGTTTGCATTTAAGTTGTGTTTATGTAATGAGTGTTGTGTTTGTTTTTTCATTTGTGTTTTTTTGCGTTTGCATTTGTGTTTTTACTGTGTTTGTGTTTCCATTTGTGTTTTATTTGCGTTTGTTTTTTCTTTTGTGTTTGTGTTGCGTTTGTTTTTTCTTTTGTGTTTGTGTTGCGTTTGTTTTTTCTTTTGTGTTTGTGTTGTGATTGTGTTTTTTTTGTTTGTGTTTTTTGTGTGTTTGTGTTTTGTTTGTGTTGTGTTTGCGTTGTATTTGTATTGAGTTTTTTCTGTTCCCAAATAGGTACATTTAAAAAAAGCTTTACCTTGGTGGAGCACGGGTATGCAGCTAGTCAAATTTTAATGAAATAGTTCCTTTATTCATATTCTAAAATTGGAAGATGACGTCATTAGTTTCGAGTACTTTCCGCAGTTTAAACATGTGGCACGTGATGTCATTGTTTATTGCGTTCTTGTCACAACCATTGTGTTCCTACATTCAAATATGCTCTCTTTTGTTTTCCTTCTTAAAATAAAAATTTAGTTTATACATTTAAAACATCCAACATATTGTTTTCAACAAAGTCCGTATCATTAAGTTGTTATATATTTCACTAAACATACTGATCACATAACCTAAAAAAAAATGGTGCGGGCAGAGAGAGAGAGAGAGAGAGAGAGAATATATATATATATATATATATATATATATATATATATATATATATATATATATATATATATATATATATATATATATATATATATATATATATATATATATATAGTTACAAAATGACTAATTTAGCCAATTGTTGCAGGGGAAATTGAGATGAGGAAGAAAAAAATAAGTTCAGAATGTACACAAGGTTATAACTAGTTACAGATAGTAAGGCCTGAGAATTAACATGGTTATTTCAGCACATAGGTAAACCCTACAGTGAGACTGTGAACCCCCCAGTAAACCCTACAGTGAGAGTGTGAACCCCGCAGTAAACCTTACAGTGAGATTGTGAACCCTCTGGCTAATAGAGTGGGGCTGTTGTGTGGGCCTGTTGTGTGGGCCTGTTGTGTGGGGCTGTTGTGTGGGCCTGTTGTGTGGGTCTGTTGTGTGGGACTGTTGTGTGGGACTGTTGTGTGGGACTGTTGTGTGGGCCTGTTGTGTGGGTCTGTTGTGTGGGCCTGTTGTGTGGGACTGTTGTGTGGGACTGTTGTGTGGGCCTGTTGTGTGGGGCTGTTGTGTGGGACTGTTGTGTGGGACTGTTGTGTGGGCCTGTTGTGTGGGCCTGTTGTGTGGGTCTGTTGTGTGGGTCTGTTGTGTGGGCCTGTTGTGTGGGTCTGTTGTGTGGGTCTGTTGTGTGGGTCTGTTGTGTGGGTCTGTTGTGTGGGTCTGTTGTGTGGGTCTGTTGTGTGGGACTGTTGTGTGGGCCTGTTGTGTGGGCTCGCTGTGTGGGCCTGTTGTGTGGGCCTGTTGTGTGGGGCTGTTGTGTGGGCCTGTTGTGTGGGCTGTTGTGTGGGCTTGCTGTGTGGGCTCGCTGTGTGGGCTCGCTGTGTGGGCCTGTTGTGTGGGCCTGTTGTGTGGGGCTGTTGTGTGGGTCTGTTGTGTGGGCTGTTGTGTGGGCTTGCTGTGTGGGCTCGCTGTGTGGGCTCGCTGTGTGGGCCTGTTGTGTGGGGCTGTTGTGTGGGCCTGTTGTGTGGGGCTGTTGTGTGGGTCTGTTGTGTGGGCTGTTGTGTGGGCTTGCTGTGTGGGCTCGCTGTGTGGGCTCGCTGTGTGGGCCTGTTGTGTGGGGCTGTTGTGTGGGCCTGTTGTGTGGGGCTGTTGTGTGGGTCTGTTGTGTGGGCCTGTTGTGTGGGCCTGTTGTGTGGGGCTGTTGTGTGGGGCTGTTGTGTGGGGCTGTTGTGTGGGCCTGTTGTGTGGGTCTGTTGTGTGGGTCTGTTGTGTGGGCTTGCTGTGTGGGCTCGCTGTGTGGGCTTGCTGTGTGGGCCTGTTGTGTGGGTCTGTTGTGTGGGGCTGTTGTGTGGGGCTGTTGTGTGGGTCTATTGTGTGGGTCTGTTGTGTGGGCCTGTTGTGTGGGTCTGTTGTTGTGTGGGTCAGTGGTGTGGGTCAGTTGTGTGGGCCTGTTGTGAGGGCCTGTTGTGTGGGTCTGTTGTTGTGTGGGTCAGTGGTGTGGGTCTGTTGTGTGGGTCAGTTGTGTGGGTCTGTTGTGTGGGTCTGTTGTGTGGGTCTGTTGTGTGGGGCTGTTGTGTGGGTCTATTGTGTGGGTCTGTTGTGTGGGCCTGTTGTGTGGGTCTGTTGTTGTGTGGGTCAGTGGTGTGGGTCAGTGGTGTGGGTCTGTTGTGTGGGTCTGTTGTGAGGGTCTGTTGTGTGGGTCAGTTGTGTGGGTCTGTTGTGTGGGGCTGTTGTGTGGGTCTGTTGTGAGGGTCTGTTGTGTGGGTCTGTTGTTGTGTGGGGCTGTTGTTGTGTGGGCCTGTTGTGTGGGTCTGTTGTGTGGGTCTGTTGTGTGGGTCTGTTGTGTGGGCCTGTTGTGTGGGGCTGTTGTGTGGGGTTGTTGTGTGGGTCAGTTGTGTGGGTCTGTTGTGTGGGGTCTGTTGTGTGGGGCTGTTGTGTGGGGCTGTTGTGTGGGCTCGCTGTGTGGGGCTGTTGTGTGGGTCTGTTGTTGTGTGGGGCTGTTGTGTGGGTCTGTTGTGTGGGGCTGTTGTGTGGACTCGCTGTGTGGGCCTGTTGTGTGGGCTCGCGTGTGTGGGGCTGTTGTGTGGGGCTGTTGTGTGGGCCTGTTGTGTGGGCCTGTTGTGTGGGCCTGTTGTGTGGGCCTGTTGTGTGGGGCTGTTGTGTGGGTCTGTTGTGTGGGGCTGTTGTGTGGGCTCGCTGTGTGGGCTCGCTGTGTGGGCCTGTTGTGTGGGGCTGTTGTGTGGGCTTGCTGTGTGGGCTCGCTGTGTGGGCCTGTTGTGTGGGGCTGTTGTGTGGGGCTGTTGTGTGGGGCTGTTGTGTGGGCCTGTTGTGTGGGCCTGTTGTGTGGGTCTGTTGTGTGGGGCTGTTGTGTGGGTCTGTTGTGTGGGCTGTCTCGAGTGTTAAAAACAAGTCATCAAAGTCAAGGTCAAGGTAAACAAGCGCCCTTGTCACACGTGACAGTGAAGGGCGTCAATACCTCACTAACGCCATGGGGCGCCACAGTCCGCAGACACCTTGTGGCGCCTCAAGCGTTCATTAATGGCGACATCGATAGCTAATGGTGGTGGATCTCAGGTGACACCCCACACGACATCCCAGGCGGTACCCCAGGTGATACTCCATCCGATACCCCAACCGATACCCCAACCGATACAGCAACGGATACCCTATCCGATACCTTATCCGACACCCTATCCGATACCCCATCCGATACCCCATCCGATACCCCAACCGATACCCCATCCGATACCCCATCCGATACCCTGGCGACACCCCATACAAAGGGAAGATTTGAGCTGACATTACACTTGTATCCCAGCTAGACGCGGCATAAAGAAAAAACAAATTATCGTGTCCTTACCAAATGTGTCGGCTGGTGGTGAAGTGTCGGTATGTGTCCGCTCGTGCAGTTTTGTGAAACCCGAGACACTGTGATGTCATAAAAATCTGGTAGATCTGCTCGCGAGATAAAACAACCCTTGTGATCAAACACATTAACATTTCCACTTGAAAGATTATCTGAACACGTTTGGGTTGAATAAGATCTCAGTGGCTGCCATAAAAGTCTCAAGACTTGTTTGACGTACATTCAGCAATAAACTGTGGGCACATGCTCCTGTAACAATGGGCTTAATAGCTCGGCGTACGTACGAGAGGATGCTATAAAATGTGGGGACACAATGGACTTTATGAGAAACAAATGTTTCTGGTGCATGTCGATAACTTTGACATTCTGGGGGAGATTTCCTTTTGTCGGCTAAAACTTGTCTAACCTTGACCTTGCAGATACCCTTGACAACAGCTGCGGGTCCAGCATCCTGGTGGAGGGTGAGGCTCGGATCGTGTTGACCAACGACAGCCACCTGCACACCCAGGTGTGTGCCGTGTCACTGTGGCCCAGCCACGGCAGCCGTCTGATAGCCAGCGTCAGCAGCTACCACCTGAGTCACGCCTACACCACCCCGTCCTGTCTGCACACGTCCATCCAGCTGGGGTCCCAGCACGACCCCCAGCTCTGGGGTACGTCCGGCTAGTCACGTGTTGCATGGGGGTGGGGGGGGGGGGGTGATGTGCAATAAGGGGTGGGAGGGTGAAAGGTGGGACGTAGCACTTTTAACACGAATCACATACATGTCTTAAACATTATGCCCATACTAAACCATACACGAGTTAACACCCATGTTAAACCATAAAGAGTTTAACACCCATGTTGAACCCCTTACGATTCTAAACCTGTGTTTCCCCTACCAGGACCGTTCGGCTACTGTAAACACGACGGACCCTCGGGGAAATACAGCCTGGGTACCCGGGGCGCCTTCAGCTACAAGACCGACCCTAGTGAGGACATTGTCGTGGGGGACATTGAGCTGTTGGTAACGGAGGTCTTTGAGAGGGACCAAACGGGACGTAAGACGTGGTCTCATGGTCTCATGGTCTCATGTTATCGTCTCATGTCATGGTCTCATGTCATGGTCTCATGTCATGGTCTCATGTCATGGTCTCATGTCATGGTCTCATGTCATGGTCTCATGTCATGGTCTTATGTCATGTCATGGTCTCATGTCATGGTCTTATGTCATGTCATGGTCTCATGTCATAGTCTCATGTCATGGTCCCATGTCATAGTCTCATGTCATAGTCTCATGTCATGTTCTCATGTCATAGTCTCATGTCATGGTCCCATGTCATAGTCTCATGTCATAGTCTCATGTCATGTTCTCATGTCATGGTCTCATGTCATGGTCTCATGTCATGGTCTCATGTCATGTCATGGTCTCATGTCATGGTCTCATGTCATGTCATGGTCTCATGTCATGGTCTCATGTCATGGTCTCATGCCATGTCATGGTCTCATGTCATGGTCTCATCTCATGTCATGGTCTCATGTCATGGTCTCATGTCATGTCATGGTCTCATGTCATGGTCTCATGTCATGGTCTCATGTCATGATCTCATGTTATGGTCCCATGTCATAGTCTCATGTCATAGTCTCATGTCATGTTCTCATGTCATAGTCTCATGCCATGTCATGGTCTCATGCCATGTCATGGTCTCATGTCATGGTCTCATCTCATGTCATGTTCTCATGTCATGTTCTCATGTCATGTTTTCATGTCATAGTCTCATGCCATAGTCTCATGTCATGGTCCCATGTCATGGTCCCATGTCATCTTATGTAGTTGTCTAATGTCATCGTCACTCCCCCACCCCTCACCCACCCTCCCACAGACTGTCAGAGTCACCAATTTGACTGCCAGCGTGACTCCATCTGTATCGACGAGTCACTGACCTGTAACGGGTTCGATGACTGCGGTAACGAGCGGGACGAGCAGCTCAGCTGTAACAAGTCCCTGGCATTCATTGGTGGCATCGTCGTAGCTGCGGTGGTCGGCGTCGTGCTTGTGGTCGTGTTGGTGCTGGTCATCTGCAGGCAGAGGTTAAAAAACAGATACGTCCACCTGACGGAACTTTAACGGAACAATCTCGTGTTTATGACAGCCATTGATTGGCTGATATTTACAGTTGTACAGTGTATAGAAGTAATTGTGTGAATAAAATGTGATTCCAATTGAAAATATGTCGGCTAGATTTGTTTGAGTTTTGTCAGGCAATCAAAGAACCCAGTGTTTGTGTTCTTACCCTAGCTTGCTCGGTTAGAACTGTATATGTGGTGGGGGTGGGGATTGGGTTGTGGATGGCGGGTTGGGGTGGGCGCATCACAGACGTGTGGGATGTGGGGTGGTAGAAATAAGCGTGGGATTGTGTGAAGGGACATGTGTGGGAGTAAGATTGTGTGAAGGGGATGGAGGTTGATGGAGAATGATTGGGTAAGAGTGGGGTTGGTGGGGGAGGTTTCGGAGGTTGTGGATGGGGGTTGTCGGAGGATGGGTGTGGGGTTGTGGGAATGAGGTTGTTCGTATGGCTGGATGTTGAACCATTCTTCGTTTAATTTTGTGTCTACAGGACAAACAGTTCCATTAGCAATGCCACGGCTCTGCAAAGTAAGTCCTATAAACACTCAGCCCTCTCGCAGCTCCGCGAAGTAAACCCAACAAAACATTCAATCGGCCCTCATCAACAACAACTTATCACATCTTCCTATCACAGCTGATAACACCAACACAATGGCTTGATGACAATGGAAATCTTTTGTTACGGTATCTGATACATATCAGAACTGATAAATTAAACTTAGCAACCTACCAATGAGTCACGTGACTGAAGTGATTGACTTTGGGGCGTGGAGTGTGCGCCAGATTTTACAAACACCGTGTACAGAAAAAACATTTTGCACCTTAGAGGAATATTGTCAGCAAGGTTGATACAATTTCATATATAAGTTTTATATCAAATTTGTAGTTATGTAACAACTTTCCAGCGATTTCCGGTGACCGGAAGTGGAACTTATTTTACTTCCAATTTCTCAAAAGCCTATAACATGAGTACTGTTTCTGATAGATAAATGAAATTTCACATACAAGTAAAAGATCCAATTCTCTGAATGTGTATAAAAAAATATATACTTTTACCAGTGTCCGCCCCTAACCCCGGAAAATTGAGTCCGTCCCCACCGAAAATTTCAAGTGAACCCCCCCCCCCACACACACACCCGGAGAAAAAAGTCGGAAAGAAACACTGATTATTGCTTAACCAGTATCCTCGGGCGTAATCTCCCCACAAACATTTCGTATATTCGTAGGTAAATATAAGGGGGATGGGGGAGGGGTGGCACTTTGAGTGCAACCTGACTATAGAAATATTTGTATTCATATTTTTACTACTTACATTTTAATCGGGCAAACATTATAAATCCAGGTATATCAAAATTTTGGCGTTTTATGCGTAATGGAGTCGGAAAGACTGGATTATCCAATTCTATCCGTATGTCTGTGTGTGTGTGTGTGTAAACACGATAACTTGAGTACCGTTACAGCTAGATTGATGAAATTTCATATATAAGTATTATATCAAAATCGTAGATCCGTATCAACTTTAGATCGATTTCCGATAACCGGAAGTGGAATTTTTCTACTTTGAATTTTTCAAAATCCTATAACTTGAGCACTATTTCAGATGGATAAATGAAATTTCACATGTAAGTAAAAGATCTACTTTTCTGCCTTCTTTCAAATTTTGAGTTATTTCCATTGACCGGAAGTAATACTTTTTGCTATTTCCGATTTCTCAAAAAACGCATGTGAATTTATAAAGTACTAATAATATTCCGCACTATTTTGCACATTTTATATGACGTTCACTTGGTGTGCAATTCTTTTTTCTACGAGATTTTATTCTATTTTAAAAAGTTTAATTATTTAAAATGGATTAAAAGTCATGTCTATATCCCGAGTTCCCATTCCCTGTTGTTTCATATAAGAATATTCGAGAAAGTTTAGAGAGATCACTCCCGGTTTATTTAAATAGAGCAGAACAGATTAGAAAAAAGAATTGCGCACCAAATAAGAGTAAAAAAATGTGTGTATAATAGAGTGGAAAATGAGTACTTTATTACAAGCTGTTATTTAACTCGCTTCCTCTGTCGTCAGTCTCTCGTCAGTCTGTCTGTCTAGATCGAAACGCCGGAGTGAAAATTCGGACACTTCTACTTGACCGATAAGATTCACATTTGGCACGTGGGTCAAGGCATGAAGACAATGCAATCTGAAATTAAATTTGACTTAATTGGATGCCTAATTAATTTTGTATGGATTAATTAAAATTTGGGCCGAATTAGTAGGCATGTCTATCCAACCACACCACACGCGTCATCACGTTCAATAGCTGCGCCATCACGTTCCATGCCTGCGCCATCACGTTTAGTAGGTGCGCAATGGTTTTTAGTCATGTAACTCTATTGTAAATAAAACATGTAAAGTACTGAAAAAAATTCATAAAAAACGTTTTAATATCAAACTTTTATGTAATAATGCACTAAAAAGTAGAAAATAAATTATATACTACTATTTAAATAACTATAAAGAAAAGCGTGGGTGTCTTCCTTAACATTAGTAAAGGTATCCAATAGTGACCCACGCTTTTCTTTATAGTTATTTAAATAGTTATCTATAATTTATTTTCTACTTTTAAGTGCATTATTACATAAAAGCTTGTTATTAAAACGTTTTTTTATGAATTTTTTAAACGAAACATTGATTTATTTTATAAAAGGTAAATTATTCTGATAAAGTCATATTTTAGGTCACAGTGCATTGTCGTTTTGTCTTGACCTAATTGAAAACTTTGAAAGATATCGGTCCAGTGGAAGTGATACATTTTGAGAAATCGGATATACCGTAAAGTAGTACTACCGGCATTGGAAATCACATAAAATTTGAAAAAATAAAGATAACATGAACTTCTAACTACGTATAAAATTTCGACCACCTAAATAAAACGGTAGCTACGTTATCGGTATTTTAGAAACCGGAAATAGATTCAAGTAACATTTACGGATATTGGAGTTAATTCAAAATTTGTGAGCGAACCAACCATAACATTTAAAACTTATAAATGAATTTCGACTACCTAACTGAAACTCAAGCAATCGTGTTGACGCTGAAGTTGAGTAAAGTACCATTTCCGGTTACCGTAAATCGTTTAAAAGTTGACAGAAATCTTCGCATTTTATCCAAAACTTATGTTTTAAATCTCGCCCACTACAGCAACATCTAAGGTATGCTGGGAGTTTAATGGAGGGGCTGAGCTCATGGCAGAAGTCGTCATTTACATTGGCCAATTAGACTTGGTTAATTAGATAGGGCTAATTAGACGGGGCAAATTAGATGGGGGTTAATTAGGCGGGGCCAATTAGATGGGACCAATTAGACTGGGCTAATTAGATGGGGGACAATTAGGCGGGGCTAATTAGATGGGGGTTAATTAGGCGGGGCTAATTAGATGGGACCAATTAGACGGGGCTAATTAGATGGGGGACAATTAGGCGGGGCTAATTAGATGGAGGCCAATTAGACGGGGCCAAATAGAAGGAGCCAATTAGCTGGTGCCAATTAGATGGGTCCAATTAGACGTGACCAATTACTCAGGGCCCTGTAGATAGACTGGGCCCTTTATACGGGTCATTTTATTGCGGGCCGTTTTGTCACGGGTTGTTGACACAGATTCTTACTTTCAGACTAGAAAGACAAGCCGAGTTTTATCTATAAGGGCTTCGGTTCAAGGGGTTCAGATAAAAATAACTGATCATTCGAAAATTCGATCACTCACTACGTCGTTCCATTAATGTTAAGGTAGGTTGTAAGCTAATTGGTAATTAATAAAGTCATTCTTAGCCTGGCAAAACGGAGGTTTTTTTCAACATGACTGATGTGTTTGTAAAATTGATGTGCGATTATTACACCAGTGATGTGTTTGTAAAATTGATGTGCGATTATTACACGAATGATTTGTTTGTAAAATTGATGTGCGATTATTACACGAATGATATGTTTGTAAAATTGATGTGCGATTATTACACCAGTGATGTGTTTGTAAAATTGATGTGCGATTATTACACGAATGATGTGTTTGTAACATTAATGATGTATGTTTTACATGGTTGAAGTCATGGGATGTAGACAACGAAACATTCCTCAATGCTGGCTAATTGTAAAATAAACCGGGAGTGATCTCCCCTAAACTTTCTCGAATATTCTTATATAACATTACGTCGGATGGCAACTCGGAATATAGACATGATTTTTAATTACTTAAACTTTTAAAAATAGAATAGAATCTCGTAGAAAAAAGAATTGCGCACCAAGCGAACGCAAAAACAAAATGTGCATAATAGTGCGGGATATTATTAGTACTTTATACATTTACATGCGTTTTTTGAGAAATCGGAAATAGCGTAAATTACTACTTCCGGTCAACGGAAATTACTCAAAATTTGATAGAAGGTAGAGGATTAGATCTGTTACTTACGTGTGAAATTTCATTTATCTATCTGAAATAGTACTCAAGTTATAGACTATTGAAAAATTCAAAGTAGAAAAAGTACCACTTTCGTTTATCGGAAAACGCTCAAAAGTTAATACGAATCTACGATTTTGATAAAATACTTATATATGAAATTTCATCAACCTAGCTTTAACGGTACTCAAGTTATCGTGTTCACAGACACACATACACGTACACATACACACAGACATACGGACTAGATTGCAAAAATATGTTTGTACGACTCAGAAAGGTGTAAACCGTCGAGATTTGTAAAAATCTCCATTTTTTGTTTGTTTGCACGATTACAAGAGCTTCTCTATACCTTCGTATAAACCTGAAATAAAAGTATAGCTAAGTGGTCAAACTTGGACAAAGACTAGATCTAACTAGGACACAGACTAGATCAAACTAGGACACAGACTAAATCAAACTAGGACACAGACTAAATCAAACTAGGACAAAAGCTAGGACGAGCTAGGACACACATGTTTACAAACTAAGCAGGAAGTTTTGATATTTTTTGTCATGTTGGCCGTCGTCTGATCCTGGGATGTATGCTGTGCTGCTGGGTTGTGCAATGTTCGTCTAGCACATTTTCTGTGGAATGTGTTCCTAGGTTCATTGTTCTCTGTTATGTGCTCATAGACAAGTTGTTCTGTGGAAATATAAAAGGCGAATTGTCAACACATTTTTAACTAGAATCTGGTTAAAACCGTAAGACACACTTAAATTAAACTCACCTTTTAAAATTCTGTATCTGGGTCATCTAAAAGGGTTTATATTGGTCAACTATTGTGTAAAATATTGTATGTAGCCTATCTAACAACTATTGTCATAATGTTGTATGTGGCCCATCCAACAACTATTGTCATAATTTTGTATGTGGCCCATCCAACAACTATTGTCATAATGTTGTATGTGTATTGACGTGTTAGCCTGCTCACTAACAAGGTCAAGGCTGCAAACACATTGTCTGACACATGGGGTCAACACAGGTCTAAACTATAAGTAGATGTATGCCCACTTATGTGGACTATACGTGTATATATATATATATATATATATATATATATACATATATATATATATATATATATATATATATATATATATATATATATGTATATATATATATATAAATATATATATATATATATATATATATATATATATATATATATATATATATATGCCTATATATATATATATATGCCTATATATAAATATATATATATATATATATATATATATATATATATATATATATATATATATATATATATATATATATATATATATATATATATATATACGTCTGTGTGTGTTTGATGTATGTATATGTATGCAGGTTGGATATGTGTGTGTGTGTTGGATATGTGTGTGGGTTGGATATTGTGTAGGTTGGATATGTGTGTGTGGTTGGATATGTGTGTGTGTTGGATATGTGTGTGGGTTGGATATGTGTGTGGGTTGGATATGTGTGTGGGTTGGATATGTGTGTGGGTTGGATATGTGTGTGGGTTGGATATGTGTGTGTGTTGGATATGTGTGTGGGTTGGATATGTGTGTGGGTTGGATATGTGTGTGGGTTGGATATGTGTGTGGGTTGGATATGTGTGTGGGTTGGATATGTGTGTGTGTTGGATATGTGTGTGTGTTGGATATGTGTGTGTGTTGGGTATGTGTGTGGGTTGGATATGTGTGTGGGTTGGATATGTGTGTGGGTTGGATATGTGTGTGTGTTGGATGTGTGTGTGTGTTGGATATGTGTGTGTGTTGGGTATGTGTGTGGGTTGGATATGTGTGTGGGTTGGATATGTGTGTGGGTTGGATATGTGTGTGTGTTGGATATGTGTGTGTGTTGGGTATGTGTGTGGGTTGGATATGTGTGTGGGTTGGATATGTGTGTGGGTTGGATATGTGTGTGTGTTGGATGTGTGTGTTGGATATGTGTGTGGGTTGGATATGTGTGTGGGTTGGATATGTGTGTGTGTTGGATGTGTGGGTTGGATATGTGTGTGTGTGGTTGGATATGTGTGTGGGTTGGATATGTGTGTGTGTTGGATATGTGTGTGTGTTGGGTATGTGTGTGTGTTGGATATGTGTGTGGGTTGGATATGTGTGTGTGTTGGGTATGTGTGTGTGTTGGATATGTGTGTAGGTTGGATATGTGTGTGGGTTGGGTATGTGTGTGTGTTGGATATGTGTGTGGGTTGGATATTGTGTAGGTTGGATATGTGTGTGTGTTGGGTATGTGTGTGTGTTGGATATGTGTGTGGGTTGGATATTGTGTAGGTTGGATATGTGTGTGTGTGGTTGGATATGTGTGTGGGTTGGATATGTGTGTGGGTTGGATATGTGTGTGTGTTGGGTATGTGTGTGTGTTGGATATGTGTGTGGGTTGGATATTGTGTGGGTTGGATATTGTGTAGGTTGGATATGTGTGTGTGTGGTTGGATATGTGTGTGTGTTGGATATGTGTGGGTTGTATATGTGTGTGGGTTGGATATGTGTGTGTGTTGGATATGTGTGTGTGTTGGATATGTGTGTGGGTTGGATATGTGTGTGTGTTGGATGTGTGTGTTGGATATGTGTGTGGGTTGGATATGTGTGTGGGTTGGATATGTGTGTGTGTTGGATATGTGTGTGGGTTGGATATGTGTGTGTGTTGGATATGTGTGTGGGTTGGATATGTGTGTGTGTTGGATATGTGTGTGGGTTGGATATGTGTGTGGGTTGGATATGTGTGTGGGTTGGATATGTGTGTGTGTTGGATGTGTGTGTGGGTTGGATATGTGTGTGTGTGGTTGGATATGTGTGTGTGTTGGATATGTGTGTGTGTTGGATATGTGTGTGTGTTGGATATGTGTGGGTTGTATATGTGTGTGGGTTGGATATGTGTGTGTGTTGGATATGTGTGGGTTGTATATGTGTGTGGGTTGGATATGTGTGTGTGTTGGATATGTGTGTGTGTTGGATATGTGTGTGGGTTGGATATGTGTGTGTGTTGGATGTGTGTGTTGGATATGTGTGTGGGTTGGATATGTGTGTGGGTTGGATATGTGTGTGGATTGGATATGTGTGTGTGTGGTTGGATATGTGTGTGTGTTGGATATGTGTGGGGGTTGGATATGTGTGTGGGTTGGATATGTGTGGGTTGGATATGTGTGTGTGTGTGTTGGATATGTGTGTGTGTTGGATGTGTGTGTGTTGGGTATGTGTGTGGGTTGGATATGTGTGTGTGTGTGTTGGATATGTGTGTGTGTTGGATATGTGTGGGGGTTGGATATGTGTGTGGGTTGGATATGTGTGGGTTGGATATGTGTGTGTGTGTGTTGGATATGTGTGTGTGTTGGATGTGTGTGTGTTGGGTATGTGTGTGGGTTGGATATGTCTGGGTTGGATATGCGTGGATTGGATATGTGTGTTCGTTGGGTATGTGTGATGTTTTGAATATAGGGCTGGTAAGTAGGTCACCAACCAGTTCTACAGCTCAATAAAAACTGCATGAGCCATAGAACTGGTTGGTGACCTACTTACCAGCCCTATAGACTGGATTCGTGTGATGTTAAAAAAATAAATTTCAAGACAATTCTATTTTCAGTACATCAACGAAGACCCCCACAATGACCCCCACATTTGCAAGGACTGTCCTCCTCACAACCCTCACAGCCTGTATCTTGTGTGTGGGGCAAGCAACTCGTTACCCCTTAAGCTGTAAGTTACACCGCCCCCCCCCCCCCCCATTCCCATACACTAACCACCTCGATCAATGCACACACCCACCTAGTGCTACATGTGTTTTAGTCGAGTAGCGACAAAATCCGGCGCCTGAGGGGGGGGGGGTTCAATTTTTACCCCTTCCGTCTATTTCTATATATAGTTATTCCTGTGTGTGACCTTTGAACTCCTCTACCCCTGACGTCTGTTTCTATATATAGTTATTGTCATGACCGGCAACCCGTGCCATGTTTTTAAAACATTCAACTACAAAAATAGTTCGATTCTAAAGAAATACAAATTCATTGAAAGGCATACCTTAGTGGAAGGGTAGGTCACTTGGTATTAGCACAACTCTTATGTTGAGGTGGTTCTTCAAGAAACAAAAAAAAGGGGGGGGGTGATAACCCACGTGTTCTGAGGCTGGATAGGGAAGGTAATTGTTACGATCTAGGGAAGGTGATTGTTACGATCTAGGGAAGGTGATTGTTACGATCTAGGGAAGGTGATTGTTACGATCTAGGGAAGGTGATTGTTACGATCTAGGGAAGGTGATTGTTACGATCTAGGGAAGGTGATTGTTACGATCTAGGGAAGGTGATTGTTACGACCTACCTTTGGTTCAACTCCAAACACGATCCAGGGCACTGTTCAAATCTTTTTTAAATTTTTCTTTTCACCATTCCACCACAAGCCCCCGACCCTGGCCGCTACCTACAGTCCCCCTTACAATCGTTCACTCCAGCTTTTATATCCGCGCTAGACCTTGGAATAACAATACCTAAACACCCCGGGGTTAACTCACACACGCCTCTCCCCTAAGTTCTAGACTATCTAACCTATTAATGCGTGTCTAAATTGTCTCATTTGTAATACGTATCTAAAGTATGTCTACATTTTGTCTAATATTTGTGATTCGTGTCTAACGTTTGTCTAAAGTTTGTCTAAAGTTTGCCTAAAGTTTGCCTAAAGTTTGCCTAAAGTTTGTCTAAAATTTGCCTAAAGTTTGCCTAAAGTTTGTCTAAAGTTTGCCTAAAGTTTGTCTAAAATTTGCCTAAAGTTTGTCTAAAGTTTGCCTAAAGTTTGCCTAAAGTTTGTCTAAAGTTTGCCTAAAGTTTGCCTAAAGTTTGCCTTAAGTTTGTCTAAAGTTTGTCTAAAGTTTGCCTAAAGTTTGCCTAAAGTTTGTCTAAAATTTGTGATACGTGTCTAAAGTTTGTCTAAAGTTTGCCTAAAGTTTGCCTAAAGTTTGCCTAAAGTTTGTCTAAAGTTTGCCTAAAGTTTGCCTAAAGTTTGTCTAAAGTTTGCCTAAAGTTTGCCTAAAGTTTGTCTAAAGTTTGCCTAAAGTTTGTCTAAAGTTTGTCTAAAAGTTGTCTAAAGCTTGTCTAAAGTTTGTCTAAAGTTTGTCTAAAGTTTGTCTAAAGTTTGTCTAAAAGTTGTCTAAAGCTTGTCTAAAGTTTGTCTAAAGTTTGTCTAAAGCTTGTCTAAAGTTTGTCTAAAGTTTGCCTAAAGTTTGTCTAAAGTTTGTCTAAAGTTTGCCTAAAGTTTGTCTAAAGTTTCCCTAAAGTTTGCCTAAAGTTTGCCTAAAGTTTGCTTAAAGTTTGCCTAAAGTTTGCCTAAAGTTTGTCTAAAGTTTGCCTAAAGTTTGCCTAAAGTTTGCCTACAGTTTGCCTAAAGTTTGCCTAAAGTTTGCCTAAAGTTTGCCTAAAGTTTGCCTAAAGTTTGCCTAAAGTTTGCCTAAAGTTTGCCTAAAGTTTGCCTAAAGTTTGCCTAAAGCGTGTGAGTCTTGTCTCAGATACCCTAGACGCCTACTGTGGTACCACCATCCGAGTGTCGGGCGATGTCCTGATCCGGCTGTCCTACAGCACTTACCTGCCGGCCGACAGAACCTGCAGCATCACCCTGCTGCCGTCCAGCGGGGACGGGCTGGTGGCTAGCGTGGACACGTACTCACTCAACTACCTGTACTCGACCAGCCAGTGTCTGTACGAGGCCATCCAGCTGGGCTCAGCTGACGTACCACAGATCTGGGGTGAGTAGCTGGATGACGTCATACTGGGGGTGAGTAGCTGGATGACGTCATACTGGGGGGGGGATGGGTGAGTAGCTGGATGACGTCATACTGGGGGGGTGAGTAGCTGGATGACGTCATACTGGGGGTGAGTAGCTGGATGACGTCATACTGGGGGGGGGGGTGAGTAGCTGGATGACGTCATACTGGGGGGGGTGAGTAGCTGGATGACGTCATACTGGGGGGGTGAGTAGCTGGATGACGTCATACTGGGGGGGGTGAGTAGCTGGATGACGTCATACTGGGGGGTTGAGTAGCTTGATGACGTCATACTGGGGGGGGGGGGTGAGTAGCTGGATGACGTCATACTGGGGGGGGTTGAGTAGCTGGATGACGTCATACTGGGGGGTGAGTAGCTGGATGACGTCATACTGGGGGGTTGAGTAGCTGGATGACGTCATACTGGGGGGGGGGGGTGAGTAGCTGGATGACGTCATACTGGGGGGTTGAGTAGCTGGATGACGTCATACTGGGGGGGGGGGGTGAGTAGCTGGATGACGTCATACTGGGGGGTTGAGTAGCTGGATGACGTCATACTGGGGGGTGAGTAGCTGGATGACGTCATACTGGGGGGTGAGTAGCTGGATGACGTCATACTGGGGGTGAGTAGCTGGATGACGTCATACTGGGGGGTGAGTAGCTGGATGACGTCATACTGGGGGGTGAGTAGCTGGATGACGTCATACTGGGGGGTGAGTAGCTGGATGACGTCATACTGGGGGGTGAGTAGCTGGATGACGTCATACTGGGGTGAGTAGCTGGATGACGTCATACTGGGGGTGAGTATGTCTAGGGAAAATAAAATGTTTGACGAGGTAACTAAGGGAAAACACTTTGGCTACTCTAAATCTTATATCAACAGGTCCCTATGGCTACTGTAAATCTTCTATCACCAGGTCCTACTGTAAATCTTACATCACCAGGTCCTACTGTAAATCTTATATCACCAGGTCCCTATGGCTACTGTAAATCTTATATCAACAGGTCCCTATGGCTACTGTAAATCTTATATCACCAGGTCCTACTGTAAATCTTCTATCACCAGGTCCTACTGTAAATCTTATTTCACCAGGTCCTACTGTAAATCTTATTTCACCAGGTCCTACTGTAAATCTTATTTCACCAGGTCCTACTGTAAATCTTCTATCACCAGGTCCCTATGGCTACTGTAAATCCTATCGACCGACGGCCAAGTACAGTCTGGGCAGGTATGGGACCTACAGCTACAAGACGGGAAAGTATTCATTCATTGAGACGGGCGACATCAAGCTGTTGGTCACTGAAACATTTAGTCGTAACGCGACTGGTTGTAAGTCTTTGGTGGTTTGTCTAGTAGGTCTTTCGTGTATGTTTATGGTGTATATTACGTTCTTTGATTTGTGTGTTGTGTGTTGATGTGTATGTGGTGTGTGTGATGTGTGTGTGGGATGTGTAAGTGATGTGTGTGTGGTGTGTCGTTTACGTGCGATGTGTATGAGTTATGTGTGTATCTGATGTACGTGTGATATGTGTGTAATGTGAGTAATGTTTGTTGTGAGTAATGTTTGTGATGTGTGCGATTTGTTTGTGAGTGATTTGTGTTATGTGTGTGTGGTGTGTGATGTTTGTGTTGTGTGTGTTGTGTGTGGTATGTGATGTGTGTGTTGTGTGTGTTGTGTGCGTTGTGTGTGGTGTGTGATATGTGTGGTGTGTGTGTTGTGTGTGTTGTGTGATGTGTGTGTTCTGTGTGTTGTGTGCGTTGTGTGTGGTGTGTGATGTGTGTGTTGTGTGTGTTGTGTGCGTTGTGTGTGGTGTGTGATATGTGTGTTGTGTGTGTTGTGTGTGTTGTGTGATGTGTGTGTTCTGTGTGTTGTGTGCGTTGTGTGTGGTGTGTGATGTGTGTGTTGTGTGTGTTGTGTGCGTTGTGTGTGGTGTGTGATATGTGTGGTGTGTGTGTTGTGTGTGTTGTGTGATGTGTGTGTTCTGTGTGTTGTGTGCGTTGTGTGTGGTGTGTGATGTGTGTGTTGTGTGTGTGGTATGTGTGGTGTGTGTTGTGTGTGTGGTGTGTGTGGTATGTGTGGTGTGTGTTGTGTGTGATGTGTGATGTGTAGTGTGTGGTGTGTGATGTGTGTTGTGTGTGTGGTCTGTGTGGTGTGTGTGTTGTGTGTGGTGTGTGTGGTATGTGTGGTGTGTGTTGTGTGTGATGTGTGATGTGTAGTGTGTGGTCTGTGATGTGTGTTGTGTGTGTGGTCTGTGTGGTGTGTGTGTTGTGTGTGGTGTGTGTGGAGTGTGTGGTGTGTGTGGTGTGTAAGCACCTATCCATCTACCCTCCCATACCTCTACAGACTGTTCCAGCGGTCAGTTTGACTGTGGTGTGTGTTGTGTGTGTTGTGTATGTTGTGTGTGTGGTGTGTTGTGTGTGTGGTGTGTGATGTGTGATGTATGTGGTGTGTGTTGTGTGTGTTGTGTGTGTGGTGTGTAAGCACCTATCCATCTACCCTCCCATACCTCTACAGACTGTGCCAGCGGTCAGTTTGACTGTGAGCGACAAAACATCTGCATCAGCCGCTCACTCACGTGTAACGGATATGACGACTGCGGCAACGACCTGGACGAAACAGACGGCTGTAGCCTCCCCCCGGGCATCATAGGAGGCATCGCCGCTGGCATCTTCGTCTTCATCGTCCTCGTTATCGTCATCTCATTCTTCATCAGGAGGCAACGCTACCGGGCGGTCTATGTACAGTATCAGTAAACATGGGGGTGGTGGTCTATATCAGTAAACATGGGGTTGCTAGGGGTGGTGGTCTACATCAGTAAACATGGGTGTGGTGGGGGTGGTGGTCTATATCAGTAAACATGGGGGTGGTGGGGGTGGTGGTCTATATCAGTAAACATGGGGGTGGTGGGGGTGGTGGTCTACATCAGTAAACATGGGGGTGGTGGGGGTGGTGGTCTATATCAGTAAACATGGGGGTGGTGGGGGTGGTGGTCTATATCAGTAAACATGGGGGTGGTGGGGGTGGTGGAGGTGGTGGTCTATATCAGTAAACATGGGGGTGGTGGGGGTGGTGGTCTATATCAGTAAACATAGGGGTGTGGGGGTGGTGGTCTATATCAGTAAACATGGGGTTGATGGTTTATATCAGAAAACATTGGGGTGGTGGGGGTGGTGGTCTATGTACAATATAAGTAAACATGGAGGTGTTAGGGGTGGTGGTCTATATCAGTAAACACAAGGTGGGGGGTAGGGGAGTATCTATAATATCAGTGAACGGGGGTGGGGGGAGTCTATGTACAGTCAACATTGGGAGGTGGAGGGGGGTCTTTGTACACTATCAGAAAAAATTGTGTCGGGAGGCGGGGAGACACCAGCAACAGAAAAAAAATCACGTGACTTGTGATGTTGAGTACCTTACAATTTTAGGTGGTAAACTAAAGGGCAACACAACAGTCTAAAAACTTGCTTAATGTTTCTGTACAACAGTCTAAAACCTTGCTTAATATTTATGTACCTTGCATTTAGTAAAAGTGTTCAAACAAACTTTATTGGTGTTGCTAATTCATTTAGCTGGTGTATACACCCCCCCCCCCCCCACACACACACCCTAGGTTTGGCATAATAACCCGAAAATTAAAATAAATGCACACTGTTGTATTCTATTTATAGACATGTGAAAATAAGAACACTCTTGCACTAAATGGCACCACTGTTAAATTCTATTTATAGCAGAAAATGTCACTTTCGTAGCTGACACAACAAAATCATTTTTTCGTGATGGAAATCTTTCCTTGGCCCAATACATTTTTACCGAGTAAAGTCCGGTAATCGGGTGAAGATTTGAAATGCCACATTTTCACGGTTGTCTTCCTTCAAAGTTACGGCATTAGAGGTAGAATGTTACTAGTTTATCATTTCTGTGGACATAACATGGTCTCATGGTCACATGATGTGGTCTATGGCAGGTCTTATGGTCACATGATGTGGTGTATGGCAGGTCTGTTGGTCACATGATGTGGTCTATGGCAGGTCTGTTGGTCACATGATATAGTCTATGGCAGGTCTGTTGGATGGTCACATGATGTGGTCTATGGCAGGTCTGTTGGTCACATGGAGTGGTCTATGGCAGGTCTGTTGGTCACATGATGTGTTCTATGGCAGGTCTGTTAGATGGTCACATGATGTAGTCTATGGCAGGTCTGTTAGATGGTCACATGATGTGGTTTATGGCAGGTCTGTTGGTCACATGATTTGGTCTATGGCAGGTCTGTTAGATGGTCACATGATGTGGTCTATGGCAGGTCTGTTAGATAGTCACATGATGTGGTCTATGGCAGGTCTGTTGGTCACATGATGTGGTCTATGGCAGGTCTGTTGGTCACATGATGTGGTCTATGGCAGGTCTGTTGGTCACATGATATAGTCTATGGCAGGTCTGTTGGATGGTCACATGATGTGGTCTATGGCAGGTCTGTTGGTCACATGGAGTGGTCTATGGCAGGTCTGTTAGATGGTCACATGATGTAGTCTATGGCAGGTCTGTTGGTCACATGATGTAGTCTGTGGCAGGTCTGTTAGATGGTCACATGATTTGGTCAATAGAAGGTCTGTTGGTCACATGATGTGGACTTTTTCTGAAAAATGAATTTGATATTTGCTGACGATGCCGGATTTAGTGAAGGACTTGATTGAGAGAGGGAGATGGGGGAAGGCTGAAGTTTAAACAAACATTATGACGTCATGTGACCATATATGTGTTATCATGTACTAGCTGCATCCCGTGCTCCGCCACGGTAAATCTTTTTTAAATGTACCAACTTGGGAACAGGACAAAACTAAACACAACACAAACGAACGCAAAAAAAAAACACAAACGAAAAAACAAACACAACACTCATAACATAAACACAATTTAAATGCAATCATAAAGGCATATTGCTCACAGTCTAGCCCGTAGCGCCAAATCGCGCCCTTTCCGGTGATTTGCACCCCTTTCAAACTTTCGATTTGCACCCCTGTCCCCCCCCCCCCCCGCCCTAAAACTTTCGATTTCCACCACCCCCCCCCCCCTCGCAAATTTTTTTCCAACCCACTTTGGCGCCCCCTAAGGTTGGCACCCGGGGACATATGCCCCCCCCCCCCCGTCGCTACGCCTCTCCTATAAAACCCCTAGCTTGTCCGCAAACCGAAAGATAGAATAATAATTAGTAAACAGTATAAATAATAGGCAGTATTTAAAATATCCGTGTTTTACCTGCAATATTTCACTTTATCCATTCACGCATTTTTTCCCAGTACTTTAAATTTTAAAAATTTACAATAGAGTTTCATAACTAAAACCATTGCGCACCGAATGAACGTGATGACGCGTCTATAATAGTGCTTAATAGTTGATTAAAAATTATAAGTAGTAAACATTACATTCAGTGAATAAAATAAATAAAAAATAGCCTTTTATCAATCAATGCTAATTATAATATTCCAACAATAATGTACTTTTACACGTCTGCATAATTTGCATTCACATTTTGCTAATTATATTATTCCAACAATTATTCCGTCTTGCAGATTTTGTATTCACATTTTTAGCGTGAGTTCAATTTATTTTTAAAATACCTCCCTTGGCAAAATTACTAAACAGTTTAATTAGATTTTTCTAACCTACAGCTATTATGTTATTAAAATGTATCCACTTTCTCTAGGAATATTAACGAAAACGATATTTGACATTGATCCTTTTAATATGTTTTAGCAATGTGCATGTATTTAATATTCTCTTTACGTTATGCAAAATTGTACAAACAGTGGAAATTATAAAATAGCTCTATGCCGCTATATAAACAAACCCTACTCTAATACTTATAATAAGACACTGCGGTGCACTGAAAAGCACAGCATGGTGCGTAGTTTACTTTTATAGTCCCAAAATCTATAGCGATGACGGACAGACACAGCCCGCTTATATTATAGATATTATAGACTAGCTGCATCCCGTGCTCCGCCACGGTAAATCTTTTTTAAATGTACCAACTTTGGAACAGAACAAAACAAACAAAAACATAACACAAACACAAACAAAACACAACCACAACACAACACAACCACAACACAACACAACAAAACAAACAAAAACATAACACAAACAAAACACAATCACAACACAACACAACCACAACCACAACCACAACACAACCACAACCACAACGACAACACAACCACAACATAACCACAACACAACCACAAACACAACCACAACACAACCACAACACAACCACAACATAACCACAACCACAACACAACCACAACACAACACAACCACAACACAACCACAATACAAACACAACACAACCACAACACAACCACAACACAACCACAACCACAACACAACCACAACACAACCACAACACAACCACAACACAACCACAACAATAGAATCACCAACGAACAACACGCTTTTCTTAGGCATCCGCGCCCAGAGAGAGCCTTTCCAGCATTCTCTATACTATAATTCTAAATTTTCACCATCTGTTAACACCGAAAAACAAAAACAAAAAAATAGTGATTTTGAGAGATCATAGTCTAATTAGAAAATAATGTAAATAATCTTAACATTTTTTCTATTTTACTTAACATATAATAATCAATGTGGAAGTAATAAAAAAAATTAACTTAATTTATTGAGAGTGAGTTGAATATTTAAAAAAAAACATTTTCCCATACGTCCGCGCTCAGAGAGAGCCTTTCCATTATTCTCAAAAAGTCTAATTTCACCATCTGTTTTCATAACACCGAAAAACAAAAGCAAAAAGATAGTGATTTTAGAGAAATCATAGACTAATTAGAAAAAATAAATAAATAATATAAATAATCTTAACATTTTTCTCTTTTAATTATGAACATTAACATATACTAATCAATGCGGTAGTAATACAAAAAAGATTAACTTAAATTATTGTTGAGATAAATATATTTTCAAATTACCTCCCTTGAAAAAAATTACCACAAAAAAAAGTTGAATTAATTAGTTTTTTCGACCTACTTTTATGGAAATGTATCCACTTTTTCTAGGAATATAAACGAAAATGATATTTGACATTGATCCTTTTAATATGTTTTAGCAATGTGCGTGTATTTAATATTTTCTTGACGTTATGCGAAAGAGTAAAAACCGTGGCAATTATAAAATAGCTCTATGCCGCTATATAAACAAACCCTACTCTAATACTTATAATAAGACACTGCGGTGCACTGAAAAGCACTGCGTGGTGCGAATGTTTACTTTTATGGTTCCAAAATCTATAGCGATGACGGAAGGAAGGACTGACACACTACCAGCAGCGTTATATTATAGATTTCCGGCCTAACCAATCTGCGTGTTTTTAAAACACACACACACACAGACACACACACACAAACAGGCAGAGAGTGCTATCAGCCATGATACTGTGTACCTTTGCCACAGGTGTGACACAATACATCACCACGTCTGTGCTGACGTCCTGTCCCAACACACGTCAGACGTCACGTCAGACGTCTCCTGTTGGTGTGTAGACCAGGGAAGTTTCTAGTTAACTTTCGGACTCGTCAGCAACACATCAGTAGCACACCAGCAACACACCCCGTGTCCGTGCCAGTGTCAACCAGACAGGTGTGTGACCTAATGACCTCTATGACGTAATGTACGGCTAGCTGGTGTCAAGTCTCGTGCACTATGACGTCACACTGGCTACTTGTGACGCTGCTGGTAGCCGCAGGTAGCACGGTACAGGCTACTCACCACCCCGAGATCTGTGAGTACATTTGTCTTGCACGGCTGGGAGGGGGGAGGGGGAGACTGAGTTTGTGGGACTTACAGCTGCTTGTTTGTTAATCGATTGTTGCTGTGTTCTGTGTTTACATTGGTAGTTGGTGTGTTTACATCCATTGGTAGTTGTTGTGTTTACATCCATTGGTAGTTGGTGTGTTTACATCCATTGGTAGTTGTTGTGTTTACATCCATTGGTAGTTGGTGTGTTTACATCCATTGTTAGTTGGTGTGTTTACATCCATTGGTAGTTGGTGTGTTTACATCCATTGGTAGTTGGTATGTTTACATCCATTGGTAGTTGTGTTTACATCCATTGGTAGTTGGTGTGTTTACATCCATTGGTAGTTGGTGTGTTTACATCCATTGGTAGTTGGTGTGTTTACATCCATTGGTAGTTGGTGTGTTTACATCCATTGGTAGTTGGTGTGTTTACATCCATTGGTAGTTGGTGTGTTTACATCCATTGGTAGTTGTGTTTACATCCATTGGTAGTTGGTGTATTAATGTAAATTGATGTCAGGTGTGTTGATATACAATGTTAAATGGTGTGTTGATGTACATTGGTGGTTGGTGTGTTGATGTACATTGGTGGTTGGTGTGTTGATGTACATTGGTGGTTGGTGTGTTGACGTGAACTGGTGGTCACTCTCCCCACACAATCACCACTCTCCCCACACAATCACCACTCTCCCCACACAATCCCCACTCTCACCACACAATCCCCACTCTCCCCACACAATCCCCACTCTCCCCACACAATCCCCACTCTCACCACACAATCCACACTCTCCCTAAATAACCCCCACACAATCCCCACTCTCACCACACAATCCCCACTCCCACCACACAATCCCCACTCTCACCACACAATCCCCACTTTCCCTAAATAACCCCCACACAATCCCCACTCTCCCCACACAATCCCCACAGATCTACTGGACCAGCAATGCTCCCAGCTTATCGATGTCCACCTAGATGTCCGTATCCAGATGAGCCCAGACGCCATCTTGCCGGCCAACAGTTACTGCTCTCTCAGCTTGAGGCCGGCCTCGGGCACCGCCCTCATCGCCATCTTTAGAAGCTTTGACCTAGATCCTAAATATAGAAACACGACAGACAGCTGTCAGGTGGAATCTCTGCAACTCATGTGGCCCGGGGGTAACTACTTTGGTGAGAGACAAATCTTCTAGGAGCTAATCCTTCAAATCTTCTAGGAGCTAATCCTTCAAATCTTCTAGGAGCTAATCCTTCAAATCTTCTAGGAGCTAATCCTTCAAATCTTCTAGGAGCTAATCCTTCAAATCTTAATCCTTCAAATCTTCTAGGAGCTAATCCTTCAAATCTTCTAGGAGCTAATCCTTCAAATCTTCTAGGAGCTAATCCTTCAAATCTTCTAGGAGCTAATCCTTCAAATCTTAATCCTTCAAATCTTCTAGGAGCTAATCCTTCAAATCTTCTAGGAGCTAATCCTACAAATCTTCTAGGAGCTAATCCTTCAAATCTTCTAGGAGCTAACCCTACAAATCTTCTAGGAGCTAATCCTTCAAATCTTCTAGGAGCTAATCCTTCAAATATTCTAGGAGCTAATCCTTCAAATCTTCTAGGAGCTAATCCTGCAAATCTTCTAGGAGCTAATCCTACAAATCTTCTAGGAGCTAATCCTTCAAATCTTCTAGGAGCAAATCCTACAAATCTTCTATGAGCTAATCCTTCAAATCTTCTAGGAGCTAATCCTTCAAATCTTCTAGGAGCTAATCTTCAAATCTTCTAGGAGCTAATCCTGCAAATCTTCTAGGAGCTAATCCTTCAAATCTTCTAGGAGCTAATCCTTCAAATCTTCTAGGAGCTAATCCTTCAAATCTTCTAGGAGCTAATCCTTCAAATCTTCTAGGAGCTAATCCTTCAAATCTTCTAGGAGCTAATCCTTCAAATCTTCTAGGAGCTAATCCTTCAAATCTTCTAGGAGCTAATCCTTCAAATCTTCTAGGAGATAATCCTTCAAATCTTCTAGGAGCTAATCCTTCAAATCTTCTAGGAGATAATCCTTCAAATCTTCTAGGAGCTAATCCTTCAAATCTTCTAGGAGCTAATCCTTCAAATCTTCTAGGAGCTAATCCTTCAAATCTTCTAGGAGCTAATCCTTCAAATCTTCTAGGAGCTAATCCTTCAAATCTTCTAGGAGCTAATCCTTCAAATCTTCTAGGAGATAATCCTTCAAATCTTCTAGGAGCTAATCCTTCAAATATTCTAGGAGCTAATCCTTCAAATCTTCTTGGAGCTAATCCTTCAAATCTTCTAGGAGCTAATCCTTCAAATCTTCTAGGAGCTAATCCTTCAAATCTTCTAGGAGCTAATCCTTCAAATCTTCTAGGAGCTAATCCTTCAAATCTTCTATGAGCTAATCCTTCAAATCTTCTAGGAGCTAATCCTACAAATCTTCTAGGAGCTAATCCTACAAATCTTCTAGGAGCTAATCCTTCAAATCTTCTAGGAGCTAATCCTACAAATCTTCTAGGAGCTAATCCTTCAAATCTTCTAGGAGCTAACCTACAAATATTTTAGGAACTAATCCTACAAATCTTCTAGGAGCTAATCCTTCAAATCTTCTAGGAGCTAATCCTTCAAATCTTCTAGGAGCTAATCCTTCAAATCTTCTAGGAGCTAATCCTACAAATCTTCTAGGAGCTAATCCTTCAAATCTTCTAGGAGCTAACCCTACAAATCTTCTAGGAGCTAATCCTACAAATCTTCTAGGAGCTAATCCTTCAAATCTTCTAGGAGCTAATCCTTCAAATCTTCTAGGAGCTAATCCTTCAAATATTCTAGGAGCTAATCCTTCAAATCTTCTAGGAGCTAATCTTTCAAATCTTCTAGGAGCTAATCCTACAAATCTTCTAGGAGCTAACCCTACAAATCTTAATCCTGCAAATATTTTTGGTGTTAATCCTACAAATCTTCTAGGAGCTAATCCTACAAATCTTCTAGGAGCTAATCCTACAAATCTTCTTGGAGCTAATCCTTCAAATCTTCTAGGAGCTAATCCTACAAATCTTCTAGGAGCTAATCCTTCAAATCTTCTAGGAGCAAATCCTTCAAATCTTCTAGGAGCTAATCCTTCAAATCTTCTAGGAGCTAATCCTTCAAATCTTCTAGGAGCTAATCCTTCAAATCTTCTAGGAGCTAATCCTACAAATCTTCTAGGAGCTAATCCTTCAAATCTTCTAGGAGCTAATCCTACAAATCTTCTAGGAGCTAATCCTTCAAATCTTCTAGGAGCTAATCCTACAAATTCTCTAGGAGCTAATCCTACAAATCTTGTATAAATGTAGGTTCTAATCCTGCAAATATTTTTGGTGATAATCCTACAAATCTGTAGGAGCTAATCCTTCAAATCTTGTAGGAGCTAATCCTTGCAAATGTTTTCGAACAACAAGACCACGAGTGCACGGAGCTCTCATTTGCTTTTGGGCTACTCGAGGTCACTCTGAGGAGATAAAACACTGAAGGGGTCGTCTGTTATAGGGCGGGGGCAGATACAAAATTCTCTTTTGGGAGGGGGGGGGAGGTCGCTTTTGTTTGTTTACAGAAATGGGGTAAGTTAAGCCAAAACCACACGTCAGTTAATAATTTAACAGTCACTTACATTTTAGATAAGATATTGTATCCGAAACATTTGAACATTCTACACTCTTCGCCCCTCCCCTCAGAAGACAGAGGCTACTGTGGGTCAGGCCCGCCCCAAGGGCAGTATCTGCTGGGTAACTTGGGTACCGTGGGATACACCACCTGGAACTTTAGCGACATCGCAGCTCTACAGTTTGATCTACTGGTTACGGAGATCTTTTATAAATCTTCGAGTAAGTTACAGGGGTACTTCTATGTTAATTAGGTTAATTTAAAGGTTACACGGGTACTTCTATTTTAATTAGGTTAATTTAAAGGTTACAGGGGTACTTCTATTTTAATTAGGTTAAATTAAAGGTTACAGGGGTACTTCTATTTTAATTAGGTTAATTTAAAGGTTACACGGGTACTTCTATTTTAATTAGGTTAATTTAAAGGTTACAGGGGTACTTCTATTTTAATTAGGTTAAATTAAAGGTTACAGGGGTACTTCTATTTTAATTAGGTTAATTTAAAGGTTACAGGAGTACTTCTTATTGATTTTAATTAGATTAATTTGATGGTTACATCGGTTGAAGGTTGAAATCAAAGTAGAAGTGGTGGAGGTGGGGCGGGGGGGGGGGGGGCTTGTGGGGGGGGGGGGGTTCTGCTTAGTGTATTATGTGCTAAAGGATCATGATGTTGTTGGTGTACCACATACAACATGATGTTGGTGTGCTACATACAACATAATGTTGTTGTGCTACATACAACATAATGTTGGTGTGCTACATATAACTTAATGTTGGTGTGCTATGTGCTACATATACCATAATGTTGGTGTGCTACATACAACATAATGTTGGTGTGCTACATACAACTTAAAGTTCGTGTGCTACATACAACATAATGTTGGTGTGCTACATACAACATAGTGTTGGTGTGCTACATACAACATAATGTTGGTGTGCTACATACAACATAATGATGGTGTGCTACATACAACATAATGTTGGTGTGCTACATACAACATAATGTTGGTGTGCTACATACAACATAATGTTGGTGTGCTACTGACCATTGTTCCCTCCTGCAGCCTGCCCTAACCAGACATTTGACTGCAGACGACAGAACCTGTGTGTGGACCGTCAGCTGACGTGTAACGGCTTGAACGACTGCGGCAACAACCTAGACGAGGTGGACGGCTGCCAACACACGGCTGCCATTGTGACGGGAGCCGTGATAGGAGCTGTGGGCATCCTGCTCATCATCGCGTGCTTCCTCCTCCTGCTGCGGAGGAGGGGGCGCCTATCCGGTGTCTCCTATATTCGCTACCCATGATAGTTTTTCACTTTTATTCGGTGTCTCCTATATTCGCTACCCATGATAGTTTTTCACTTTTATTCGGTGTCTCCTATATTCGCTACCCATGATAGTTTTTCACTTTTATTCGGTGTCTCCTATATTCGCTACCCATGATAGTTTTTCACTTTTATCCGGTGTCTCCTATATTCGCTACCCATGATAGTTTTTCACTTTTATTCGGTGTCTCCTATATTCGCTACCCATGATAGTTTTTCACTTTTATCCGGTGTCTCCTATATTCGCTACCCATGATAGTTTTTCACTTTTATCCGGTGTCTCCTATATTCGCTACCCATGATAGTTTTTCACTTATATCCGGTGTCTCATATATTCGCTACCCATGATAGTTTTTTACTTTTATTCGGTGTCTCCTATATTCGCTACCCATGATAGTTTTTCACTTTAATTCGGTGTCTCCTATATTCGCTACCCATGATAGTTTTTCACTTTTATTCGGTGTCTCCTATATTCGCTACCCATGATAGTTTTTCACTTTTATTCGGTGTCTCCTATATTCGCTACCCATGATAGTTTTTCACTTTTATTCGGTGTCTCCTATATTCGCTACCCATGATAGTTTTTCACTTTTATCCGGTGTCTCCTATATTCGCTACCCATGATAGTTTTTCACTTTTATTCGGTGTCTCCTATATTCGCTACCCATGATAGTTTTTCACTTTTATCCGGTGTCTCCTATATTCGCTACCCATGATAGTTTTTCACTTTTATCCGGTGTCTCCTATATTCGCTACCCATGATAGTTTTTCACTTATATCCGGTGTCTCATATATTCGCTACCCATGATAGTTTTTTACTTTTATTCGGTGTCTCCTATATTCGCTACCCATGATAGTTTTTCACTTTTATTCGGTGTCTCCTATATTCGCTACCCATGATAGTTTTTCACTTTTATTCGGTGTCTCCTATATTCGCTACCCATGATAGTTTTTCACTTTTATTCGGTGTCTCCTATATTCGCTACCCATGATAGTTTTTCACTTTTATCCGGTGTCTCCTATATTCGCTACCCATGATAGTTTTTCAATTTTATCATGTGTCTACTATATTCGCTAGATAGATAGTTTTTCTTTATTATTCGGTGTCTCCAATATTCGCTACTGATAACAGTTTTCACTTTTATTCGGTGTCTCCAATATTCGCTACCCATGATAGCTTTTCACTTTTATTCGGTGTCTCCAATATTCGCTACCCATGATAGCTTTTCACTTTTATTCGGTGTCTCCAATATTCGCTACCCATGATAGCTTTTCACTTTTATTCGGTGTCTCCAATATTCGCTACCGATAACAGTTTTCACTTTTATTGTTTCTAGTCACTACCCGTGATAACGTACCTCAGATAAAATAAATCTGTAGTCTACAGGCTCACGAAGACGATTTTAAATTCAGATTTTCTGCTTCTTGCTGGCTGTGCAGGACTCACGAGTATTTGATTTACTTTGTCTTGTTCAGACTCAGCTGGGGACGACGTTGGTAGTTCCACCACATCACCCCCTCCCAACCTACCCTGTCGCCTAGTTTAAAAACAAACAAAAAAAACAAAGCTGACTTAAACTCCTGTAATCGTCACACACCGCCAGCCGTGCTATTCATGTGATTACGTTCTACACAGGTCAGACAAAGGGACAGTAAGACAACAATGGTCACTTTTTTTTTGTCGTTGGATTCAGACTCGATACTCTCCAAAGATTGAACGCCAATCTTTCTCTTACATGAGTTAGTGTCGTCCGCAACTTCTTGTTAATTAATGTGTGTGATTAATGACGTTATACAGACACGTGAATACCATGTGACGAGAGCTCACGTGTTGTAGTGACGTTTTGTCACATGTCCTTGTTGTTAAGTCAAATGGCGCAAATCAAAAGTGCCATTTGATGTCATTTACATGTCCATTTAGATATTATCTACGTGTCATTTGATGTCATCTATGTGCCCATTGATGTCATCTATGTGCCCATTGATGTCATCTATGTTCTCATTGCTTGGATTTACCTGTGTTCAGTTCATCACATCACCCATTGCTCTGTTCTACGTGACTCTGCGACATACGACACAAAATTATATAAATAAATGTATATTTCACTGCTCAGGTTTTTGTTCTTTACTATGGTTTCTATTAGTGTTCTATTCTTGAGGGCAGATGTTGTTCAAACTGTATATATGTGTATGTATGTATGTGTGTGTGTGTGTCTCCATGTATGTAACAGGTTTTTCTGCGCTAGAACAAGTTAGTGCAGGGATTACTCAAGGTAACATGACGCCCTTTTATTGACACCAATCCCCCCCCTCCATGTCCCGCCCTCTAAACGAAAGGTTTCTCTACACTAGCTGTCTTCAAACACTAATAGTGTATGTGGGGGGGGGGGGGGGCATCGAAGCACGTCCGCCTCATCCCCAACGAAATAGAAAACATTTTCTTTGGCGATATATGTGTCCTATTAATATTTAGATTTAGATTTATACCGTCTATGAGCTGATCAGGGGACATCCATAAATGACGTCACGCTTTTTTGACGATTTTGATCTCCGCCCCCCCCCTCCCCTCCGTCACACATTGTCTCAAAAAGCCAGACCCCCCCCCCCCCCCCCCCCCTTTGTCTCAGCTCTGTCAAAATAGAGTATTTTAATCAATTCCTATTACAATTTATTAAAACAGCTTTCTAAAACGCGAAATAACGTCTAAAATTCGTTTTCTAACATTTCTTTTTTATAATGCAAAAGAGTGACGTCGCACCATCTGACCCCCCCCCCTCCCCCTCATCACACACCGTCACAAAATTACGATCCCCCCTCCCCCTACGAGTGTGACGTCATTTATGGACGATCCCCTCACCAAAAATATGCGGATCCTGAATAGTTGAAGTTTCTTCAAATAGTGTTGCTCTTCTACGGGTGGCAGACTTTTAAAATAAACTGAAGACATTTTTACACCAGACAAGCACTAGGTAGGCCTACACCGTCATGGGGCGTTGGTGTTTGCAAGGGGTGAGGAGAATATATAGCTTACAGGCCTACTTAAACCAGTGTCCGGCCATCTCCCTCCCCCGGAGAAAAAATGTGTGAAAGAACAACTACCCTAAGCTAGTCGGCTGTTAGTGTGATAAAAAGTACCCAGGATGGGAATCTCGTGGTTACACCTTTACCCCCAAACATTGATCATAGACATAACGGGGTGTAGACCGGTGAAATTTTCAAAGAATTAAACAATAGCATGACAAACTATTTCATTTTCTTTTTACCAAAGAACTTAAACTTAATAAATGTATTGACTTATAGCCAGTGTTTCTTACAGACTTTTTTCTCGGGGGGGGGGGGGGGGGGGGGAGGGGAGCACTTAAAATTTTCGGGGGGGAGGGGTGGTAGACTTTCTATGGGGGGGGGGGGCGGACACTGTTAAAAGTATATATTTTCTATATAAATTATATACATTTCATTTCGTTCGGGGGGGGGGGGGGCGGGGGGGGGGAGGGGGCCCACGCCATTTAGGGCCCACAGACGACCATAATAAAAAATTTATATTAAAAAAAAATAATTTTCTTGCACTTTTAACTTGATGGTTGTTTTGTAAAAAGATTACCAAAGCTGCGGTCGGATTATCTTTATTCTATAGACTACACCCCACGCTCTTGTATATTCTTTTTCCCTTTGTTTTTAAACCACCGTGAAATCCGATTCCTCTTTCTCCTACAATCAAACTTATCAAAGATAAGTAAACGTTCAAACCACTTCCATGACTTATTTCCCTTTTTTTAAATAGCCTCATAAGCTTCTTTTAATAGATTTGCACTAAACAAATTAAAAAGTAATTACTCCTCTTAATTATTTTGTTTTATAAAGTACTTACTAAAAATGGCATTGTATAAAAAGGAAATGCATTTAAAATTAATAATATAAATACAAAAAAACTTAAAAATTAACATAACACGAGACAACATTACGTATACAAAGCTTTCATGTTTTATATTCTTTTGACTAATTTGGGATAGAGAGGTTCTATAGCAGAGATAAAAAAAAAAAATTTAAAAACAGACTAATGCGCTTACGCATATGACATGTCATTGTAATTTGTTTTAATTGAAAAAAAAAACATTTTTTTTTTCAAAACCAGAACAGGCCAGCATTGAGAATCCTATGTTCGTATTTTGTGTTTATATATATATATATATATATATATATATATATATATATATATATATATATATATATATATATATATATATATATATATATATATATATATATATACATAAGGGGGGGGGCTAAAAGAATTTTTTGCGGGGTGGCCCTCTTTTTCTAGAGTTCCGCCACTGCCAAGATAGATATTTTACAAGATAGATATTTTAAGTAAAATAAAACGAGTGAACGTAGATCTAGGTCTTAATTTTTAAATATTTTGTTAATTTTATGAAGTAAGAGAAACCATAAAAATTAAAAAAAAAAAAAAAAAAAAAAAAAAATTAGCTAACCACAAACACAAGACGTGGAAAACCAAAAATGCGAATTTTTAATTAAACTAGATAACGAAAGTAGCAAACGATAATAAATAATGCTCCATTATTTTCCATTGTGACCATATTTTTTGAACTTGTTTCTCGGTGTCAACAAAATTGATTTCACGCATTTACTTAGGTTCTAGAATCTAGATCTAGAATCTTATATATTATTTCCAGGCTAGATTTCCAGATCTAGGTTCATTTAGTTTTATTTTGCTATAACTTATTAATTAGGGTATTTTTAGGCCAACATTATTTTAAAATAAAATATTTTAAGCTAGATCTAGATCTAGATCTAGATCTAGATCTCTAGATCTAGATCTAGATTCTAGATCTAGATCTAGATCTAGATCTATAGACTCTAACTCTAGGAGTCTAGATCTAGACTTAGATCTCTAAATCTAGATCTAGATTATTCTAGATTCTAGACTAGATGTAGATCTAGATCTAGATCTGGATCTAGTGTACTGAGTAGTGTATTTATTTACGGCGTACGGTTTCACCAGAAATCTAGTCTAGATCTCCAGATTCTACAGATCTCACTAGGCACTAGACTCTAGACTACCTCTCTAGACTACTAGAGTGACTAGAGTCTAGATCTCTAGGACTGACTAGGTTTTTAATTAGTAGACTATTTTTTAAGTTAACTTTAGTAACTAGTGACTAGATTAGATGATGATGTCTAGATAGTAGATCTAAGATCTAGAATTCTAGATCTAGACTCTAGTCCTAGTCTAGATCTAGATCGGCCGCAGGGACCGAATGCGAATAGCCACGGCCCATTTTAGGGTAAAATCACGATATAGCGTCGGAAATTATTGGGTAATGTTCTTTGAGTTTCGGTAACATTCGTTACTGTAAACTGTAAACCATTGTTGATTTGATCGTTGAAAGAAAAATAAAGTCAAGTGCATTAAATTAATGTTTTAACTTAATTTAATGTTTAACTGACAAAAAATTAGCAACAATTAGTAAATCTAAATATTATTAATAAATTCGAGTGTAGTAATACTAATTAATGTTTTTTTTTAAGAAACAGAAAAAACCTGCAGAAGATTTGCGACAACCAGCTCTAGTTCTGTTACTAAATAAGACAATTAGATTTACTTAAGTTAAAAGTAGTAAGAATAACTAGAATAATGTTTAGTAGCAGCAATAATTAGCACATACACTTAAAATAATTAGAAATACAAAATAATTAGCAAAACAGTATTTAAAATGCAACTAAAATCAATCCTTGCACATTTTTAAACATTATGTATTAAAAATAATATGGGGGCAAATAAATGATGGTTTACAGTATTTCTGGTGGTTTCCGGAACGCCTCGACAGACTACGCCATGGTTTTACTGTTTTTTACTGCTGTACAGTTCCGGAATAATAACCGACGCTATATCGTGATTTTACCCATTTTAGGATCCAGGTCCTCAAAGCCTCAGCCGCTATTCGGACCAGCCAATAAAATTAAGATTTACTTAGGGCCTAAACAATTATTTTAAGATGCAGATCAATATAGGGATTAATATTATTATAATACCTTGTAAGTTGTTGTGATTTTTTTCTTGTAATTCTAAATGATGTCTTGAGAACTTGCTGTAAAAATACCTACCTGATATAAATTTGATGATAGGCCTAAATGTCATGGCGAAGGGGAGTCATTAGGTCTATTATATAATATTTATGGCTTATGGTATGTTGAAGCACTTGTAAAAATGTGCATTCTTTTTTTCTTCTGTTAAGCATAATTTGATTTTATAGGCATATCAGTCCAAATAAATAAAAAATAATGGTAGAAATTAACAGCTCAATATAGGCTACAGTCTACAGCTCCCATGCACATTTTCTTGAACACTTATATCCCGCATGCGTAGTAGTACGCTATAATAGCAATCTCAGATAGTAATGGTATTATTATGACGTATGCTTTACGCCTACACTATTCATATCTAAATCAATGTGAACCCACAGTGACCCTAACTAGACAGTGTCTGTATTTTTCTCCACCTGACAAGAAAACATTACTGGCTATCATAGGAGCAATGACGTTTAGAATTGGCGTATTTAAAGATCTAAATCTAGAAAAGACATAGAATATACAAAAAATAAATTAAAAACAACAACTATGCAATGCAATTATCGTGACAGAACTAGAAAATTAGTTGAATTATTTTCTTCTTGCACAAAACTGACTATTTTAGTTAACCAGGAACAAGCAAAGGGAAATCCTAGGTTAATCAGGTTCCGAACCGGTAACTGACAAGATTTGAGAGACATGATGTTCTACACTCGGCCACGACGTCTTACGTTAAATAATATTAAATATCCAATATTTAATGATTTTTGATAGAGCTAAATATAGGGTATTTAGAAATAGTAGGACCTAACACTAGCAAATCCACAAGAAAAATCAAATAAACATAAAAGGTATAATTTTGATAGAGGTTATACAAGTTTTTATCTATAGACCAAACTAAATGCCTGGTCCGAATAGCGGCCATGGCTATAGGGACCCAGGTCTATATAGCGGCAAAAAAAACAGCAAAAAATTGTACAGTTCTCAACAATTAAATCAAAATATTTCTTAGATTTTTGTTACTTTTCTGTGACTTTTTTTTCATTTTACCAGGCCTAGGCCTACATGTACATAATTGTACATAGTACATACTACTGCATAGTTAATTAAATTATTACTTTTGCCTACTTATTGAACTTTATTGTTTAGGTCCTAATTAATACCAGAAAATCTATAGGCCTACTCTAACTCTACTAGACGGATGGAATAACTAGATCTAGAGTGATTCTTGAGTCAATATCTATGTATACTGTCCAGGCCAGTAAATCTATAGTTTTTGTAACGTAATCAATTCAGCCTGCACTAGAGTAATGAGTATAGTGTAGTATAATTGAATTAATAGTGGCCTACTTAGTCTACTAGCAGTAAATCCCAGGCCATGATAACTCACACTCAGTTAATGATGCCTTACCTTTTCCCCCACAGATTTGATTAAACCTGAAGCCTGTAGATTGTGCTTGACTTCTAGATCCAGATCTTCATGATAACTCACACTCAGTTAATGATGCCTTACCTTTCCCCCCACAGATTAAACCTAAACCTGAAGCCTGTAGATTGTGCTTGACTTGTAGATCCAGATCTGAAATAAAATGTCTGATGTGTTGGCTTCATCTGCAGAGCTTGCTACTCTTCAGGTCAGCTATTACTGAGACTCATGTTTTAGAATTTAGAGTCATTTCATTTATAATATCAATATTAGATCTACACAAATTAGGCATACACAAATTAGGCGTACACAAATTAGGCGTACACAAATTAGACGTACACACAGATGAAACAGAAGGTAGACCTATCTACATGTGCACAAGAGATCTATCTTATAGGCCTATTCATATTATTATACAGCGCCTATAAATTATACGTTATATTATAGACAAGGCTATTGGCATTTAATTTTACTGCTCAGCAAGTAGGCCAATTCATCTTTAGTTTAGTAGTTTACCTTTACCATAGGTGTACTATTCTGCTTTTTTTTTCTGAAATTCTCTTTTTCCACTCGAGGAAACCTTTCTGCCATTAAAAAATATATTGACTTAAGCTAAAAATGATCATGCGGCCTTTGACGTAAGACCTCGTGATCACATTTATTGCAGACCGGACTACGCTGTTGCCGTCCGGTTGCTTAGTCGCCGGCGAATACGTTGTTGACACTGACTCGGGCACTAGCCAATGAGGCCGTCGTTGTCTAGGGGTATTTAATGATTCTACCCGAGTCAGCTACAGTGAAGTAATCAACGGTACAGGAGACCTTCTTAGTTTATGACGTTTATTAATTCACTGAATGCTTGTTCTGCGAGGCTTCCCCTAACCGCTAACGTCGGGAGAGAGAGAGAGAGAGACTAACTAACCTGCCTGTATTTATACCCCTGTCTTAACCCCCTAGCTATTCCCACGGGACAATGGGCTCAAAACTTGTGACCTAACAGATTATCCCCCCTGGTGCTAACAACCCTAGCTACTGGTCAGTATAAAGACTACTATTGTCCTGTCAGAGCAGTCAGTCTCTTTGAACGTGTCACCTACTGTCCATCCCTACGTGTACCCTGTAATTATCTAGTGAATGGATGTTTGTGGAATTCTGACCTAACAACATTCTACATAAGCTGTTGTTTACACATCTATTTTTAAGTTGGTTCTTACCCTACACCACCCTCCCCCCGCTTGTACAAGAAATTTCTGATTTTTTTCTTTCAAGGGCGGTTACATCTCTGCTTTACTTTCTGTTTTTAAATTATGGATTAGATTAATTTAATCAACACATTTGCAACAATTTTCTTGCTCAACAGTTAGGCCTGTTGCTTATGTGGATAAAATGAATAGCTGGGTAGAATTAATATACAATCGGCCTAACAATACATCAATTAATATATCGGAGCAATGTTTGCTACCTCGGTCTTTAGATGGATAAAGCTGAAACATAGTTTCAGTTAACATAGACAGTTCACACAAACTTGACTCACCACATACAAATGTTAGAGCCACATGAAGACAGTTAACACAAACTTGACTCACCACATACACATGTTAGAGCCACATGAAGACAGTTAACACAAACTTGACTCACCACATACACATGTTAGAGCCACATAAAGACAGTTAACACAAACTTGACTCACCACATACAAATGTTAGAGCCACATAAAGACAGTTAACACAAACTTGACTCACCACATACAAATGTTAGAGCCACATAAAGACAGTTAACACAAACTTGACTCACCACATACAAATGTTAGAGCCACATGAAGAAGAATAAAACATTTTTGTGTGCATGTTTCATCCACCAGCAGAATGTTGCGTCATCAGTGGAGTCAAGCCACCAGCAGAATGTTGCGTCATCAGTGGAGTCAAGCCACCAGCAGAATGTTGCGTCATCAGTGGAGTCAAGCCACCAGCAGAATGTTGCGTCATCAGTGGAGTCAAGCCACCAGCAGAATGTTGCGTCATCAGTGGAGTCAAGCAGCGCAGACAGTGAGGGGGGAGATGATACACTGTCCTCTAAGCTGGGGACTTTGGTGAGGGACCTAAACATTTGACTTAACTGGGGACTTTGGTGAGGGACCTAAACATTTGACTTAACTGGGGACTTTGGTGAGGGACCTAAACATTTGACTTAACTGTGGACTTTGGTGAGGGACCTAAACATTTGACTTAACTGGGGACTTTGGTGAGGGACCTAAATGTTTGACTTTGGTGAGGGACCTAAACGTTTGACTTTGGTGAGGGACCTAAACATTTGACTTAACTGGGGACTTTGGTGAGGGACCTAAATGTTTGACTTAACTGGGGACTTTGGTGAGGGACCTAAACATTTGACTTAACTGGGGACTTTGGTGAGGGACCTAAACATTTGACTTAACTAGGGACTTTGGTGAGGGACCTAAACATTTGACTTAACTGTGGACTTTGGTGAGGGACCTAAACATTTGACTTAACTGGGGACTTTGGTGAGGGACCTAAACGTTTGACGTTGGTGAGGGACCTAAACGTTTGACTTAACTGGGGACTTTGGTGAGGGACCTAAACATTTGACTTAACTGGGGACTTTGGTGAGGGACCTAAACATTTGACTTAACTGGGGACTTTGGTGAGGGACCTAAACATTTGACTTAACTAGGAACTTTGGTGAGGGACCTAAACATTTGACTTAACTGGGGACTTTAGTGAGGGACCTAAACATTTGACTTAACTGGGGACTTTGGTGAGGGACCTAAACATTTGACTTAACTGGGGACTTTGGTGAGGGACCTAAACATTTGACTTTGGTGAGGGACCTAAACGTTTGACTTTGGTGAGGGACCTAAACGTTTGACTTTGGTGAGGGACCTAAACATTTGACTTAACTAGGGACTTTGGTGAGGGACCTAAACGTTTGACTTTGGTGAGGGACCTAAACGTTTGACTTTGGTGAGGGACCTAAACGTTTGACTTAACCAATCACCTCTGACAACCCCCTGTTGTACCAGGGACTGACACAAATATTTTAACACCCCAGGTTCCAACAATTTTCTGCTCCTTTAAAATATTTTTAATCTTTGCAGGAGATAAGAGAGGAAGCCCCTCCTCGGTATTTAAGGTCAGTCTACATCTTATTTCCTCTAAACTCTTCAGTTTCCAAGGTTTATTTTTGTACTCTATTTTGTTTAGTTTAAACAATTCATTAGGCAACATGTGAAATATTTTTCAGCACTGGCCTAATCTATGACAAAGTTATGACCCTCCATAAGTGTGAGTGGGACCCAAACTTCCCTGAAAACCCCCTGAGGATAACTGAGCCTTACAAGCGCTGTTGTGAGCTGGGATTGATCCAGCGCTGCCAACAAATACAGGTAAAAAGGTCATTGACCTAACAGTGTGAGCTGGGTTTGATCCAGCGCTGCCAACAAATACAGGTAAAAAGGTCATTGACCTGACAGTGTGAGCTGGGTTTGATACAGTGCTGCCAACAAATACAGGTAAAACGGTCATTGACCTGACAGTGTGAGCTGGGTTTGATCCAGCGCTGCCAACAAATACAGGTAAAAAGGTCATTGACCTGACAGTGTGAGCTGGGTTTGATCCAGTGCTGCCAACAAATACAGGTAAAAAGGTCATTGACCTGACAGTGTGAGCTGGGTTTGATCCAGCGCTGCCAACAAATACAGGTAAAAAGGTCATTGACCTGACAGTGTGAGCTGGGTTTGATCCAGCGCTGCCAACAAATACAGGTAAAAAGGTCATTGACCTGACAGTGTGAGCTGGGTTTGATACAGTGCTGCCAACAAATACAGGTAAAACGGTCATTGACCTGACAGTGTGAGCTGGGTTTGATCCAGCGCTGCCAACAAATACAGGTAAAAAGGTCATTGACCTGACAGTGTGAGCTGGGTTTGATACAGTGCTGCCAACAAATACAGGTAAAACGGTTATTGACCTGACAGTGTGAGCTGGGTTTGATCCAGCGCTGCCAACAAATACAGGTAAAAAGGTCATTGACCTGACAGTGTGAGCTGGGTTTGATCCAGTGCTGCCAACAAATACAGGTAAAACGGTCATTGACCTGACAGTGTGTGCTGGGTTTGATCCAGCGCTGCCAACAAATACAGGTAAAAAGGTCATTGACCTGACAGTGTGAGCTGGGTTTGATACAGCGCTGCCAACAAATACAGGTAAAAAGGTCATTGACCTGACAGTGTGAGCTGGGTTTGATCCAGCGCTGCCAACAAATACAGGTAAAAAGGTCATTGACCTGACAGTGTGAGCTGGGTTTGATACAGCGCTGCCAACAAATACAGGTAAAAAGGTCATTGACCTGACAGTGTGAGCTGGGTTTGATCCAGCGCTGCCAACAAATACAGGTAAAAAGTTCATTGACCTGACATAACTTTTGTCATTGTCTATTAGTTTTACACATTGACTCCACTTTTTCCATTTGCTTGTTAATTATTTTAATTGGTTGAAACTTTGAAAATGTTTAGACAAGGCGAGCTAAAGAAGAAGAAATCTTAACGAAACATGCTAAGGAACTGGTGCAATTAGCAGAGACAACAGTCAGCTTGACGTATGAGGAGAGGATGGAACTTTGCAAGAACTACGACGCCTGGTATTGTAATGATGTGAGTATGGCTGATGTTGGCCACCTAGTATTGTAATGATGTGTGTATGGCTTATGTTGGCCACCTGGTATTGTAATGATGTGTGTATGGCTTATGTTGGCCACCTGGTATTGTAATGATGTGTGTATGGCTGATGTTGGCCACCTGGTACTGTAATGATGTATGGCTGATGTTGGCCACCTGGTACTGTAATGATGTGAGTATGGCTTATGTTGACCACCTGGTATTGTAATGATGTGTGTATGGCTGATGTTGGCCACCTGGTACTGTAATGATGTATGGCTGATGTTGGCCACCTGGTACTGTAATGATGTGAGTATGGCTGATGTTGGCCACCTGGTATTGTAATGATGTATGGCTGATGTTGGCCACCTGGTATTGTAATGATGTGTGTATGGCTGATGTTGGCCACCTAGTACTGTAATGATGTATGGCTGATGTTGGCCACCTGGTATTGTAATGATGTGTGTATGGCTTATGTTGGCCACCTGGTATTGTAATGATGTGTGTATGGCTGATGTTGGCCACCTGGTACTGTAATGATGTATGGCTGATGTTGGCCACCTGGTACTGTAATGATGTGAGTATGGCTTATGTTGACCACCTGGTATTGTAATGATGTGTGTATGGCTGATGTTGGCCACCTGGTACTGTAATGATGTATGGCTGATGTTGGCCACCTGGTACTGTAATGATGTGAGTATGGCTGATGTTGGCCACCTGGTATTGTAATGATGTATGGCTGATGTTGGCCACCTGGTATTGTAATGATGTGTGTATGGCTGATGTTGGCCACCTAGTACTGTAATGATGTATGGCTGATGTTGGCCACCTGGTACTGTAATGATGTGAGTAGTGCTGATGTTGGCCCCCTGGTACTGTAATGATGTGTGTATGGCTTATGTATATCCTAATGTAATTACCAGCACACCTTTATATCCTAATGTAATTACCAGCACACCTTTATATCCTAATGTAATTACCAGCACAACTTCATATCCTAATGTAATTACCAGCACACCTTTATATCCTAATGTAATTACCAGCACACCTTTATATCCTAATGTAATTACCAGCACAACTTCATATCCTAATGTAATTACCAGCACACCTTTATATCCTAATGTAATTACCAGCACAACTTCATATCCTAATGTAATTACCAGCACACCTTTATATCCTAATGTAATTACCAGCACAACTTCATATCCTAATGTAATTACCAGCACACCTTTATATCCTAATGTAATTACCAGCACAACTTCATATCCTAATGTAATTACCAGCACACCTTTATATCCTAATGTAATTACCAGCACAACTTCATATCCTAATGTAATTACCAGCACAACTTCATATCCTAATTTAATTACCAGCACACATACGATGCAGCCTTGATAGCAGCAGGGACTACCATCAAAATGGTGGATGATATTTTACAGAATAACTTAACCAATGGCTTCGCTATGGTCAGGTAAAAAAGTTTGAAACTTTATGCAACTCTTCCATTGGTTGGTTGGAAAATTGTTTCAAATCGGCTGTTTTCTCTACTATTTGTGGTTTGGTCTACTATTTGTTGTTTGATCTACTATTTGCTCTTAGATGTAAATGTACTGTTTAATTGAAAATGTACTTGTCTATGTGGAGTAATTATTTGCTAATGTTGATTTAACCTCATTATTTGAAAATGTGCTAATCTTTGAATGGCCTGGCCATTTGCTTTGTGTGACAGGCCACCTGGCCACCATGCCATGGAGAATGAGTTTAACGGCTACTGCACCTTCAACAACGTGGCCCTGGCGGCACAGAGCGCACTGGACAAAGGTGTGGAGAGGTAAGCACACATCAGCGTCATTCAGAGACTTTTTAAACATCAGCGTTATTCAGAGACTTTTTAAACATCAGCGTCATTCAGAGACTTTTTAAACATCAGCGTCATTCAGAGACTTTTTAAACATCAGTGTCATTCAGAGACTTTTTAAACATCAGTGTCATTCAGAGACTTTTTAAACATCAGTGTCATTCAGAGACTTTTTAAACATCAGTGTCATTCAGAGACTTTTTAAACATCAGTGTCATTCAGAGACCTTTTAAACATCAGTGTCATTCAGAGACTTTTTAAACATCAGTGTCATTCAGAGGCTTTTTAAACATCAGTGTCATTCAGAAAATTTAAAAAAATCAGTGTCATTCAAAAACCTTTTTAAACAAACATCAGCATCATTCAGAGACTTTTTTAAAACAGAAGCTTCATTCAGAGACTTTTAAAACGAACATCTGTTTATAAAAATGTTTTTACAGACTGTTATTTAAATTGCTTCCTGTGTCTGTCTTTCTGTCTCTCTGTCTAGATCAAAACAGGCGAGCAAAATTTTAAATGAACACAATGTTTTTGAAGTATTCAGAAATAAATATTTTTTTTAGGCCTTATAGATTTAAATTATGTTTTAAATAAAATGTATGGAGGAAAGTACCATAACATCGTGATTAACATGCTAATTTCTAGATCTAGAATGCTAGATTATCTAGCGTGGTAGGTCGTAACGCTAACTTGCGCTTCAGCAATTGTTGTTCATATGGTCTAGTAGGCCTACATAGCAAGGCTGAAAAATCTAAGATAGTCTAAGATAGCATCAACTACTGTTGAATCAAATCAATAATGTTATGTTTAAGTGTTAAGATTATGGTTGGAATGGGGAGGGGTCACGAGTTACTAAAGTGGTTAGCTTAGGTTTAAAAAAATGTAAGCTGACTTCAACCCTGAAAGCGCGCCAAGCAACGATCATGGCTTTGCTGTTACATAACTTATAACACGTAATGCCAGGTGGCGCGCGCTTTAAGGTTTAAGCAGTATTTAGATGTAGTAAAAGACCAGCTATACAAAACTATAGACCCACTATATGTAAACTGTATAATGTCATATAGACCTACTATATGTATACTGTGTATAATGTCATAAGACTTATTGCAATTATTTATTATGTCTTTGCAAATGAGTTTCCATGCGTATGTTCCTTTTTTGTGGCTTCGAATTCCACTTTTTTGGTATGTTCCTACTTTTGGTCGATAAGGGTAGGAATGCCTGCACTAAAAAGGAGGAAAAATAAACGATTTTTCTTTAAATATATAATAACACACTCCTATTATTAGTAAAGGTATCCAATAGATAATATAGTGATGCACTCTTTTCTTTATAGTTAATTAAATAGTAGAGAACTATTATATATTTAAAGAAAATCATTTATTTTCTCCTTCTTTGTGTATGATTACATAAAAGCTTTTTATTAAAATGTTTTTCCCCTCATAAGCTTAGTTCTAACTGAGAATTTTCAAATATTTATTTTTCTCATGTGGTTAGAGTTTCTGTCTTAAACAATGTAAAATTTCTCTTTCAAATGAGCAAAGTTTTTACAAGCTATTTTTAACTTGCTTCCTCTGTCTTGCTTTGTCATAGATCAAAACTTCGTTGCGAAATTTGGAGCACTTCTAATTGACCCGTTTGATTATAACTCAGCACGTGGGTCTTGACCTTACGACAATGCAATCTGACATCAAATTTGATTTAATTAGATTAACTAATTAATTTTTATGAATAAATCAAAATTTTCAAAATAAAGTAGAGGGTTCTATAAATATTTCATTGCTATTATACACACATTTTTATGTTCATTTGGTGGCAATAATAAAGGTATCCAATAGATAATATGGTGACCATGCTTTTCTTTATAGTTATTTAAATAGTGGTGTATTAATATATATTTAAGGAAAATCATTTATTTTCTCCATTTTAGTGCATTATTACATAATAGCTTGTTATTAAAGCGTTTTGTATGCAATTTTTTTTGGTCTCAATTTGTTTAGTTTGACACAAACATTACCCTAAAGCAGGGGTCTCCAAACTTTTCAGTCCGAGGGCCGCATTAACTATCAAATTTCTGTTCGGGGGCCAGTTTCTTCCAGGCATGTCTTTGATTTTTCTGGGCAAAGCTCCTCAGCCATAACCAACAAACGTTTTTTCCGTGGACAAAAAGATCTCCGCGGGCCGGATGAGAGGACCTCGCGGGCCGCATCCGGCCCGCGGGCCGTAGTTTGGAGACCCCTGCCCTAAAGTAAAAAGTTATTGTGAACTAACCAACCCAGTTACCTCCCTTGGAGTGACCATGTTTAGTTTACTCCAACTGCCCCTTTTGAATTTCAGAATTTTGATTGTTGACTGGGATGTACACCATGGGCAGGGCATCCAGAGAATGTTTTATGATGACCCCAGGTGAGTTTTATGATGACCCCAGGTGAGTTTTATGATGACCCCAGGTGAGTTTTATGATGACCCCAGGTGAGTTTTATGATGACCCCAGGTGAGTTTTATGATGACCCCAGGTGAGTTTTATGATGACCCCAGGTGAGTTTTATGATGACCCCAGGTGAGTTTTATGATGACCCCAGGTGAGTTTTATGATGACCCCAGGTGAGTTTTATGATGACCCCAGGTGAGTTTTATGATGACCCCAGGTGAGTTTTATGATGACCCCAGGTGAGTTTTATGATGACCCTAGGTGAGTTTTATGATGACCCCAGGTGAGTTTTATGATGACCCCAGGTGAGTTTTATGATGACCCCAGGTGAGTTTTATGATGACCCCAGGTGAGTTTTATGATGACCCAAGATGACCCCAGGTGAGTTTTATGATGACCCTAGGTGAGTTTTATGATGACCCTAGGTGAGTTTTATGATGACCCCAGGTGAGTTTTATGATGACCCTAGGTGAGTTTTATGATGACCCCAGGTGAGTTTTATGATGACCCCAGGTGAGTTTTATGATGACCCCAGGTGAGTTTTATGATGACCCCAGGTGAGTTTTATGTTGACCCAAGATGACCCCAGGTGAGTTTTATGTTGACCCCAGGTGAGTTTTATGTTGACCGCAGGTGAGTTTTATGTTGACCCCAGGTGAGTTTTATGTTGACCCCAGGTGAGTTTTATGTTGACCCCAGGTGAGTTTTATGATGACCCCAGGTGAGTTTTATGATGACCCCAGGTGAGTTTTATGATGACCCCAGGTGAGTTTTATGATGACCCCAGGTGAGTTTTATGATGACCCCAGGTGAGTTTTATGATGACCCTAGGTGAGTTTTATGATGACCCCAGGTGAGTTTTATGATGACCCCAGGTGAGTTTTATGATGACCCCAGGTGAGTTTTATGATGACCCCAGGTGAGTTTTATGTTGACCCAAGATGACCCCAGGTGAGTTTTATGTTGACCCCAGGTGAGTTTTATGTTGACCGCAGGTGAGTTTTATGTTGACCCCAGGTGAGTTTTATGTTGACCCCAGGTGAGTTTTATGTTGACCCCAGGTGTGTTTTATGTTGACCCCAGGTGAGTTTTATGTTGACCCCAGGTGTGTTTTATGTTGACCCCAGGTGTGTTTTATGTTGACCCTAGGTGAGTTTTATGATGACCCCAGGTGAGTTTTATGATGACCCCAGGTGAGTTTTATGATGACCCTAGATGACCCCAGGTGAGTTTTATGTTGACCCCAGGTGAGTTTTATGTTGACTCCAGGTGTTTTACGATGCACAAGGTATGTGTTATGAGGTGTGTTAACTGATCAGTGTCTACTTGCCTTCTGACAGAGTCATGTACTGCTCCATTCATCGCTTTGAGTATGGCAGATTTTGGCCACAGCTTCGGGAGTCTGACTACGACTTCATTGGTAGCGGTCAGGGAGCTGGCTTTAACATCAACGTCCCATTGAATCAGGTAGTTTGTTTTGTTTTTTTATTGGCGGGGGCAGGGGGGGGGGTGTCATTAATATCAACGTCCTATTGAATCAGGTAGTTTTTTTTTTTTAATTGGTGGGGGCAGGGGGGGGGGGGGAGGTGTCATTAATATCAACGTCCTATTGAATCAGGTAGTTTTTTTTTTTTTTTAACTGGCGGGGGCAGGGGGGGAGGTGTCATTAATATCAACGTCCTATTGAATCGGGTAGTTTTTTTTAATTTTCTATTGAGAGGGGGTGTCAATAACATTGACATCCTATTGAAATAGGTAGTTATACGTTTGTCATTGGTTGTGGCAGATGCTTAGGCTTATTTCTGTACCATGTAAATGAGTTCAGCTGGATTGCATGTGTGTGTGATTGTATATGGGTGGATGGTGTATGAAGGCTGCCTCTAGCTGTGACATTGACTGCCTCTAGCTATCTGTGACATTGACTGCCTCTAGTTGTGTAATTGGCTGCCTCTAGCTGTGACATTGGCTGCCTCTAGCTGTGACATTGACTGCCTCTAGCTGTGACATTGACTGCCTCTAGCTGTGACATTGGCTGCCTCTAGCTGTGACATTGACTGCCTCTAGTTGTGTAATTGGCTGCCTCTAGCTGTGACATTGGCTGCCTCTAGCTGTGACATTGGCTGCCTCTAGCTGTGACATTGACTGCCTCTAGCTATCTGTGACATTGACTGCCTCTAGCTGCGACATTGGCTGCCTCTAGCTGTGACATTGACTGCCTCTAGCTGTGACATTGGCTGCCTCTAGCTGTGACATTGACTGCCTCTAGCTGTGACATTGGCTGCCTCTAGCTGTGACATTGACTGCCTCTAGCTATCTGTGACATTGACTGCCTCTAGTTGTGTAATTGGCTGCCTCTAGCTGTGACATTGGCTGCCTCTAGCTGTGACATTGACTGTCTCTAGCTGTGACATTGACTGCCTCTAGCTGTGACATTGGCTGCCTCTAGCTGTGACATTGGCTGCCTCTAGCTGTGACATTGACTGCCTCTAGCTATCTGTGACATTGACTGCCTCTAGCTGTGACATTGGCTGCCTCTAGCTGTGACATTGACTGCCTCTAGCTGTGACATTGACTGCCTCTAGCTGTGACATTGGCTGCCTCTAGCTGTGACATTGGCTGCCTCTAGCTGTGACATCTAGCTGTGACATTGACTGCCTCTAGCTGTGACATTGGCTGCCTCTAGCTGTGACATTGACTGCCTCTAGCTGTGACATTGGCTGCCTCTAGCTGTGACATTGGCTGCCTCTAGCTGTGACATTGGCTGCCTCTAGCTGTGACATTGACTGCCTCTAGCTGTCTGTGTCATTGGCTGCCTCTAGCTGTGACATTGGCTGCCTCTAGCTGTGACATCTAGCTGTGACATTGACTGCCTCTAGCTGTGACATTGGCTGCCTCTAGCTGTGACATTGGCTGCCTCTAGCTGTGACATTGACTGCCTCTAGCTGTGACATTGGCTGCCTCTAGCTGTGACATTGACTGCCTCTAGCTGTGACATTGACTGCCTCTAGCTGTGACATTGACTGCCTCTAGCTGTGACATTGGCTGCCTCTAGCTGTGACATTGACTGCCTCTAGCTGTAACATTGGCTGCCTCTAGCTGTGTCATTGGCTGCCTCTAGCTGTGACATTGGCTGCCTCTAGCTGTGACATCTAGCTGTGACATTGACTGCCTCTAGCTGTGACATTGGCTGCCTCTAGCTGTGACATTGGCTGCCTCTAGCTGTGACATTGACTGCCTCTAGCTGTGACATTGGCTGCCTCTAGCTGTGACATTGACTGCCTCTAGCTGTGACATTGACTGCCTCTAGCTGTGACATTGACTGCCTCTAGCTGTGACATTGACTGCCTCTAGCTGTGACATTGGCTGCCTCTAGCTGTGACATCTAGCTGTGACATTGACTGCCTCTAGCTGTGACATTGGCTGCCTCTAGCTGTGACATTGGCTGCCTCTAGCTGTGACATTGACTGCCTCTAGCTGTGACATTGGCTGCCTCTAGCTGTGACATTGACTGCCTCTAGCTGTGACATTGACTGCCTCTAGCTGTGACATTGACTGCCTCTAGCTGTGACATTGGCTGCCTCTAGCTGTGACATTGACTGCCTCTAGCTGTGACATTGGCTGCCTCTAGCTGTGACATTAACTGCCTCTAGCTGTGACATTGGCTGCCTCTAGCTGTGTCATTGGCTGCCTCTAGCTGTGACATTGGCTGCCTCTAGCTGTGACATCTAGCTGTGACATTGACTGCCTCTAGCTGTGACATTGGCTGCCTCTAGCTGTGACATTGGCTGCCTCTAGCTGTGACATTGACTGCCTCTAGCTGTGACATTGGCTGCCTCTAGCTGTGACATTGACTGCCTCTAGCTGTGACATTGACTGCCTCTAGCTGTGACATTGACTGCCTCTAGCTGTGACATTGACTGCCTCTAGCTGTGACATTGGCTGCCTCTAGCTGTGACATCTAGCTGTGACATTGACTGCCTCTAGCTGTGACATTGGCTGCCTCTAGCTGTGACATTGGCTGCCTCTAGCTGTGACATTGACTGCCTCTAGCTGTGACATTGGCTGCCTCTAGCTGTGACATTGACTGCCTCTAGCTGTGACATTGACTGCCTCTAGCTGTGACATTGACTGCCTCTAGCTGTGACATTGGCTGCCTCTAGCTGTGACATTGACTGCCTCTAGCTGTGACATTGGCTGCCTCTAGCTGTGACATTGACTGCCTCTAGCTGTGTCATTGGCTGCCTCTAGCTGTGACATTGGCTGCCTCTAGCTGTGACATTGGCTGCCTCTAGCTGTGACATTGACTGCCTCTAGCTGTGACATTGACTGCCTCTAGCTGTGACATTGACTGCCTCTAGCTGTGACATTGGCTGCCTCTAGCTGTGACATTCACTGCCTCTAGCTGTGACATTGGCTGCCTCTAGCTGTGACATTGGCTGCCTCTAGCTGTGTCATTGGCTGCCTCTAGCTGTGACATTGGCTGCCTCTAGCAGTGACATTGGCTGCCTCTAGCTGTGACATTGGCTGCCTCTAGCTGTGACATTGGCTGCCTCTAGCTGTGACATTGACTGCCTCTAGCTGTGTCATTGGCTGCCTCTAGCTGTGACATTGGCTGCCTCTAGCTGTGACATTGGCTGCCTCTAGCATGACATTGACTGCCTCTAGCTGTGACATTGGCTGCCTCTAGCTGTGACATTGGCTGCCTCTAGCTGTGACATTGGCTGCCTCTAGCTGTGACATTGACTGCCTCTAGCTGTGACATTGACTGCCTCTAGCTTTGACATTGGCTGCCTCTAGCTGTGACATTGACTGCCTCTAGCTGTGACATTGACTGCCTCTAGCTGTGACATTGACTGCCTCTAGCTGTGACATTGGCTGCCTCTAGCTGTGACATTGGCTGCCTCTAGCTGTGACATCTAGCTGTGACATTGACTGCCTCTAGCTGTGACATTGGCTGCCTCTAGCTGTGACATTGGCTGCCTCTAGCTGTGACATTGACTGCCTCTAGCTGTGACATTGGCTGCCTCTAGCTGTGACATTGACTGCCTCTAGCTGTGACATTGACTGCCTCTAGCTGTGACATTGACTGCCTCTAGCTGTGACATTGGCTGCCTCTAGCTGTGACATTGACTGCCTCTAGCTGTGACATTGGCTGCCTCTAGCTGTGACATCTAGCTGTGACATTGGCTGCCTCTAGCTGTGACATTGGCTGCCTCTAGCTGTGACATTGACTGCCTCTAGCTGTGTCATTGGCTGCCTCTAGCTGTGACATTGGCTGCCTCTAGCTGTGACATTGGCTGCCTCTAGCTGTGACATTGACTGCCTCTAGCTGTGACATTGACTGCCTCTAGCTGTGACATTGACTGCCTCTAGCTGTGACATTGGCTGCCTCTAGCTGTGACATTGGCTGCCTCTAGCTGTGACATTGGCTGCCTCTAGCTGTGTCATTGGCTGCCTCTAGCTGTGACATTGGCTGCCTCTAGCTGTGACATTGGCTGCCTCTAGCTGTGACATTGGCTGCCTCTAGCTGTGACATTGACTGCCTCTAGCTGTGTCATTGGCTGCCTCTAGCTGTGACATTGGCTGCCTCTAGCTGTGACATTGGCTGCCTCTAGCATGACATTGACTGCCTCTAGCTGTGACATTGGCTGCCTCTAGCCTTGACATTGGCTGCCTCTAGCTGTGACATTGACTGCCTCTAGCTGTGACATTGACTGCCTCTAGCTGTGACATTGACTGCCTCTAGCTGTGACATTGACTGCCTCTAGCTGTGACATTGGCTGCCTCTAGCTGTGACATTGGCTGCCTCTAGCTGTGACATTGGCTGCCTCTAGCTGTGACATTGACTGCCTCTAGCTGTCTGTGTCATTGGCTGCCTCTAGCTGTGACATTGGCTGCCTCTAGCTGTGACATCTAGCTGTGACATTGACTGCCTCTAGCTGTGACATTGGCTGCCTCTAGCTGTGACATTGGCTGCCTCTAGCTGTGACATTGACTGCCTCTAGCTGTGACATTGGCTGCCTCTAGCTGTGACATTGACTGCCTCTAGCTGTGACATTGACTGCCTCTAGCTGTGACATTGACTGCCTCTAGCTGTGACATTGGCTGCCTCTAGCTGTGACATTGACTGCCTCTAGCTGTAACATTGGCTGCCTCTAGCTGTGTCATTGGCTGCCTCTAGCTGTGACATTGGCTGCCTCTAGCTGTGACATCTAGCTGTGACATTGACTGCCTCTAGCTGTGACATTGGCTGCCTCTAGCTGTGACATTGGCTGCCTCTAGCTGTGACATTGACTGCCTCTAGCTGTGACATTGGCTGCCTCTAGCTGTGACATTGACTGCCTCTAGCTGTGACATTGACTGCCTCTAGCTGTGACATTGACTGCCTCTAGCTGTGACATTGACTGCCTCTAGCTGTGACATTGGCTGCCTCTAGCTGTGACATCTAGCTGTGACATTGACTGCCTCTAGCTGTGACATTGGCTGCCTCTAGCTGTGACATTGGCTGCCTCTAGCTGTGACATTGACTGCCTCTAGCTGTGACATTGGCTGCCTCTAGCTGTGACATTGACTGCCTCTAGCTGTGACATTGACTGCCTCTAGCTGTGACATTGACTGCCTCTAGCTGTGACATTGGCTGCCTCTAGCTGTGACATTGACTGCCTCTAGCTGTGACATTGGCTGCCTCTAGCTGTGACATTGACTGCCTCTAGCTGTGACATTGGCTGCCTCTAGCTGTGTCATTGGCTGCCTCTAGCTGTGACATTGGCTGCCTCTAGCTGTGACATCTAGCTGTGACATTGACTGCCTCTAGCTGTGACATTGGCTGCCTCTAGCTGTGACATTGGCTGCCTCTAGCTGTGACATTGACTGCCTCTAGCTGTGACATTGGCTGCCTCTAGCTGTGACATTGACTGCCTCTAGCTGTGACATTGACTGCCTCTAGCTGTGACATTGACTGCCTCTAGCTGTGACATTGACTGCCTCTAGCTGTGACATTGGCTGCCTCTAGCTGTGACATCTAGCTGTGACATTGACTGCCTCTAGCTGTGACATTGGCTGCCTCTAGCTGTGACATTGGCTGCCTCTAGCTGTGACATTGACTGCCTCTAGCTGTGACATTGGCTGCCTCTAGCTGTGACATTGACTGCCTCTAGCTGTGACATTGACTGCCTCTAGCTGTGACATTGACTGCCTCTAGCTGTGACATTGGCTGCCTCTAGCTGTGACATTGACTGCCTCTAGCTGTGACATTGGCTGCCTCTAGCTGTGACATTGACTGCCTCTAGCTGTGTCATTGGCTGCCTCTAGCTGTGACATTGGCTGCCTCTAGCTGTGACATTGGCTGCCTCTAGCTGTGACATTGACTGCCTCTAGCTGTGACATTGACTGCCTCTAGCTGTGACATTGACTGCCTCTAGCTGTGACATTGGCTGCCTCTAGCTGTGACATTCACTGCCTCTAGCTGTGACATTGGCTGCCTCTAGCTGTGACATTGGCTGCCTCTAGCTGTGTCATTGGCTGCCTCTAGCTGTGACATTGGCTGCCTCTAGCAGTGACATTGGCTGCCTCTAGCTGTGACATTGGCTGCCTCTAGCTGTGACATTGGCTGCCTCTAGCTGTGACATTGACTGCCTCTAGCTGTGTCATTGGCTGCCTCTAGCTGTGACATTGGCTGCCTCTAGCTGTGACATTGGCTGCCTCTAGCATGACATTGACTGCCTCTAGCTGTGACATTGGCTGCCTCTAGCTGTGACATTGGCTGCCTCTAGCTGTGACATTGGCTGCCTCTAGCTGTGACATTGACTGCCTCTAGCTGTGACATTGACTGCCTCTAGCTTTGACATTGGCTGCCTCTAGCTGTGACATTGACTGCCTCTAGCTGTGACATTGACTGCCTCTAGCTGTGACATTGACTGCCTCTAGCTGTGACATTGGCTGCCTCTAGCTGTGACATTGGCTGCCTCTAGCTGTGACATCTAGCTGTGACATTGACTGCCTCTAGCTGTGACATTGGCTGCCTCTAGCTGTGACATTGGCTGCCTCTAGCTGTGACATTGACTGCCTCTAGCTGTGACATTGGCTGCCTCTAGCTGTGACATTGACTGCCTCTAGCTGTGACATTGACTGCCTCTAGCTGTGACATTGACTGCCTCTAGCTGTGACATTGGCTGCCTCTAGCTGTGACATTGACTGCCTCTAGCTGTGACATTGGCTGCCTCTAGCTGTGACATCTAGCTGTGACATTGGCTGCCTCTAGCTGTGACATTGGCTGCCTCTAGCTGTGACATTGACTGCCTCTAGCTGTGTCATTGGCTGCCTCTAGCTGTGACATTGGCTGCCTCTAGCTGTGACATTGGCTGCCTCTAGCTGTGACATTGACTGCCTCTAGCTGTGACATTGACTGCCTCTAGCTGTGACATTGACTGCCTCTAGCTGTGACATTGGCTGCCTCTAGCTGTGACATTGGCTGCCTCTAGCTGTGACATTGGCTGCCTCTAGCTGTGTCATTGGCTGCCTCTAGCTGTGACATTGGCTGCCTCTAGCTGTGACATTGGCTGCCTCTAGCTGTGACATTGGCTGCCTCTAGCTGTGACATTGACTGCCTCTAGCTGTGTCATTGGCTGCCTCTAGCTGTGACATTGGCTGCCTCTAGCTGTGACATTGGCTGCCTCTAGCATGACATTGACTGCCTCTAGCTGTGACATTGGCTGCCTCTAGCCTTGACATTGGCTGCCTCTAGCTGTGACATTGACTGCCTCTAGCTGTGACATTGACTGCCTCTAGCTGTGACATTGACTGCCTCTAGCTGTGACATTGACTGCCTCTAGCTGTGACATTGGCTGCCTCTAGCTGTGACATTGGCTGCCTCTAGCTGTGACATTGGCTGCCTCTAGCTGTGTCATTGGCTGCCTCTAGCTGTGACATTGGCTGCCTCTAGCTGTGACATTGGCTGCCTCTAGCTGTGACATTGGCTGCCTCTAGCTGTGACATTGACTGCCTCTAGCTGTGTCATTGGCTGCCTCTAGCTGTGACATTGGCTGCCTCTAGCTGTGACATTGGCTGCCTCTAGCATGACATTGACTGCCTCTAGCTGTGACATTGGCTGCCTCTAGCTGTGACATTGGCTGCCTCTAGCTGTGACATTGACTGCCTCTAGCTGTGACATTGGCTGCCTCTAGCTGTGCCCCACCTTACTTTCCCCAGATTGGAATGTCCAACACTGACTACATGGCCGTCTTGAACCAGATCATTCTACCCCTGGCCTACGAGGTAAGTTTGAAATGGTGTAAGTAGAAAATTTGATATCTTTAACCAGTTTACACTTACATAGCGGCTGTAATATAAGGCAGAAAACTTGATGTAAGTTGGTACAACATGGAATGTCATGGTCAGATGGTAGAGCTCAAGTTCAAATCCTGGGCTTGAGTCCGTAAGACATCCATGAGTCCACCCAGCTCTGATGAGTACATGGCTCACATTATGAAAACTAAGACGGCTGAGCATAGTCTGACCACATTATCCCACTGTAAGCCAAGTTTGTTGAAACGGATGAACTGAACTTCATTAACCCCTTGTATCTTTGGCACTAACAACTTTAATGCCAGATAATCAGTTTGATTAGTTCAGTTTAGGATCTCTTAGGAGACTTAAGGATCTTCCTGAGTCCACCCAGCTCTTAAGGGTACCTGTCCTGACTTTGGGAAAACAAAGGTGGCTTGGTGTAGCCACTGTCTCCTCACAAGATGAGTTTAGAAAAACATGAAATTATTGACGTCAGCCACATCTGGTCTGAAATGTTTGTTCTTTTGATTGTGTCAGTGATCTGGTTCATGTGTCAGTGATCTGGTTCATGTGTCAGTGACCTGGTTCATATGTCAGTGATCTGGTTCATGTGTCAGTGAACTGGGTCATGTGTCAGTGATCTGGTTCATATGTCAGTAAACTGGTTCATATGTCAGTGATCTGGTTCATGTGTCAGTGAACTGGGTCATGTGTCAGTGATCTGGTTCATATGTCAGTAAACTGGTTCATATGTCAGTGATCTGGTTCATGTGTCAGTGAACTGGGTCATGTGTCAGTGATCTGGTTCATATGTCAGTAAACTGGTTCATATGTCAGTGATCTGGTTCATGTGTCAGTGAACTGGGTCATGTGTCAGTGATCTGGTTCATGTGTCAGTGATCTGGTTCATATGTCAGTAAACTGGTTCATATGTCAGTGATCTGGTTCATGTGTCAGTGAACTGGGTCATGTGTCAGTGATCTGGTTCATGTGTCAGTGATCTGGTTCATGTGTCAGTGATCTGGTTCATGTGTCAGTGATCTGGTTCATGTGTTAGTGATCTGGTTCATGTGTCAGTGATCTGGTTCATGTGTCAGTGAACTGGGTCATGTGTCAGTGATCTGTCACTCAATGACCTACCTATCCAGTCCCCCAGAAGTTTTTGTTGAGAAATGTTGTGACAATTTTTTTCCAGTTTAGCCCACAGTTTGTGCTGGTCTCTTCAGGATATGACGCAGCGCTGGGCTGTCCTGAGGTATTGTTGCTGGCTGGCTGGCTGGCTGGCTGGCTGGCTGGTTGGTTGGTTGGCTCGCTGGCTGGCTGGTTGGTTGGTTGGTTGGCTGGCTGGCTGGCTGGCTGGCTGGCTGGTTGGGCTTGCTGCATCCCTTTTGTTATCTAGCTTGTGTATCTTGGTGTTGTACAACCATCTAACCCATGCATCTCTGGCATGAAACCATCAATGACTCCAGCAGCCACAGAAAAAAGCCTCTTGCTCTAACTACTTGTGATTTCACCTACCCAAAAAATTTTTCCAGACTAAAACAAATTTTTTACTGAAACATTTCTCAACCATTGGAAACACAAAGAGGCATTTTTCTATTTGTTTTGCTTTTGACCATTGTTTCTTTCTTTGAAGCTTGATTAACAAAATACTGGCCAACTTTTTTGTTTTCTTTGTTTGAAGTACACCCCACAATTGGTGCTAGTTGCTCATGGTCTAGACTCCGCCATTGGGGATGAAAAGGTACTTGGAAGGCATAAGGCAGGGGCTCTAAAGGGTTAGGGGCAGGTGGTGTAAAGGGCATATGTTATAGTGCAATGGGCAGGATACAGGGCAGATGGTGATAGAAAGTAAGTGGCAGATGGGGTTATATAACAAAAGTCAGATGGGGTTATATAACAAAAAGCCAATGGGGTTATATAACAAAAAGCCAATGGGGTTATATAACAAAAGGCTGATGGAGTTATATAACAAAAGGCAGATGGGGTTATATAACAAAAGGCAGATGGTTGTGCTTTATTATTTGAACTTACAGAGCAGCTAAACACAATGGGACTATATGAACTCTGGTGGACTTTGATCTAAAAGCCAGTTTTAAGGGGAAAGGATAGTTTAACATTTTTTACTCTTGCTTAGTAACTTATATTTGTGTTATGCTTATTTTAGATCTAGAAGCTATTCTTATGGGAGGGAATAAAGTCTTGTAATTTGTATGCTTGCTTAGTAAATTATGTTTTGGTTATGCTTGTTTTATCATACTTATAGCCTCAAACTAATTCTGTAATTCTAGCTGACACAATAACGTTTTGCTAGTTTAACATTATACATATTTTAACCTATATTTATGCTATTATAGATCTTATTTAAGATTTTCATGTAATAGTTAATTTATAAACATTTTTCAATAATGGTAACTATAAAAGTAAAAAAGTAGTGCTTGTAGTAAGTGTAGGTTGTATGTTGATGAAGTAAGTGTAGGTTGTATGTTGATGTAGCAAGTGTAGGTTGTACTGTATGTATCAAGTATAGCCCCCGTGTGTCCATCCCAGTTGTATGTTAATGTAGTGACTGTAGTAGGTGTAGGTTGTATGTTGATGTAGTGACTGTAGTAGGTGTAGGTTGTATGTTAATGTAGTGACTGTAGTAGGTGTAGGTTGTATGTTGATGTAGTGACTGTAGTAGGTGTAGGTTGTATGTTGATGTAGTGACTGTAGTAGGTGTAGGTTGTATGTTGATGTAGCAAGTGTTGGTTGTATGTTGATGTAGTGACTGTTGTAGGTGTAGGTTGTATGTTGATGTAGTGACTGTAGTAGGTGTAGGTTGTATGTTGATGTAGTGACTGTAGTAGGTGTAGGTTGTATGTTGATGTAGTGACTGTAGTAGGTGTAGGTTGTATGTTGATGTAGTGACTGTAGTAGGTGTAGGTTGTATGTTGATGTAGCAAGTGTTGGTTGTATGTTGATGTAGTGACTGTTGTAGGTGTAGGTTGTATATTGATGTAGTGACTGTAGTAGGTGTAGGTTGTATGTTGATGTAGTGACTGTAGTAGGTGTAGGTTGTATGTTGATGTAGTGACTGTAGTAGGTGTAGGTTGTATGTTGATGTAGTGACTGTAGTAGGTGTAGGTTGTATGTTGATGTAGTGACTGTAGTAGGTGTAGGTTGTATGTTGATGAAGTGACTGTAGTAGGTGTAGGTTGTATGTTGATGTAGTGACTGTAGTAGGTGTAGGTTGTATGTTGATGTAGTGACTGTAGTAGGTGTAGGTTGTATGTTGATGTAGTGACTGTAGTAGGTGTAGGTTGTATGTTGATGTAGCAAGTGTAGGTTTATGTTGATGTAGTGACTGTTGTAGGTGTAGGTTGTATGTTGATGTAGTGACTGTAGTAGGTGTAGGTTGTATGTTGATGTAGTGACTGTAGTAGGTGTATGTTGTATGTTGATGTAGTGACTGTAGTAGGTGTAGGTTGTATGTTGATGAAGTGACTGTAGTAGGTGTAGGTTGTATGTTGATGTAGTGACTGTAATAGGTGTAGGTTGTATGTTGATGTAGTGACTGTTGTAGGTGTAGGTTGTATGTTGATGTAGTGACTGTAGTAGGTGTAGGTTGTTTGTTGATGTAGTGACTGTTGTAGGTGTAGGTTGTATGTTGATGTAGTGACTGTAGTAGGTGTAGGTTGTATGTTGATGTAGTGACTGTAGTAGGTGTAGGTTGTATGTTGATGTAGTAACTGTTGTAGGTGTAGGTTGTATGTTGATGTAGTGACTGTAGTAGGTGTAGGTTGTATGTTGATGTAGTGACTGTAGTAGGTGTAGGTTGTATGTTAATGTAGTGACTGTAGTAGGTGTAGGTTGTATGTTGATGTAGTGACTGTAGTAGGTGTAGGTTGTATGTTGATGTAGTGACTGTAGTAGGTGTATGTTGTATGTTGATGTAGTGACTGTTGTAGGTGTAGGTTGTATGTTGATGTAGTGACTGTAGTAGGTGTAGGTTGTATGTTAATGTAGTGACTGTAGTAGGTGTAGGTTGTATGTTGATGTAGTGACTGTAGTAGGTGTAGGTTGTATGTTGATGTAGTGACTGTAGTAGGTGTAGGTTGTATGTTGATGTAGTGGCTGTAGTAGGTGTAGGTTGTATGTTGATGTAGGGACTGTAGTAGGTGTAGGTTGTATGTTGATGTAGCAAGTGTAGGTTGTATGTTGATGTAGGGACTGTAGTAGGTGTAGGTTGTATGTTGATGTAGTGACTGTAGTAGGTGTAGGTTGTATGTTGATGTAGTGACTGTAGTAGATGTAGGTTGTATGTTGATGTAGTGACTGTAGTCGGTGTAGGTTGTATGTTGATGTAGTGACTGTTGTAGGTGTAGGTTGTATGTTGATGTAGTAACTGTAGTAGGTGTAGGTTGTATGTTGATGTAGTGACTGTAGTAGGTGTAGGTTGTATGTTGATGTAGTGACTGTAGTAGGTGTAGGTTGTATGTTGATGTAGTGACTGTAGTAGGTGCAGGTTGTATGTTGATGTAGCAAGTGTAGGTTTATATTGATGTAGTGATGTAGTAGGTGTAGGTTGTATGTTGATGTAGTGATGTAGTAGGTGTAGGTTGTATGTTGATGTAGTGACTGTAGCCAGTGTAGGTTGTATGTTGATGTAGTGACTGTAGTAGGTGTAGGTTGTATGTTGATGTAATGACTGTAGTAGGTGTAGGTTGTATGTTGATGTAGTGACTGTAGCCAGTGTAGGTTGTATGTTGATGTAGTGACTGTAGCCAGTGTAGGTTGTATGATGATGTAGTGACTGTAGTAGGTGTAGGTTGTATGATGATGTAGTGACTGTAGTAGGTGTAGGTTGTACTGTATCAAGTATAGCCTCCTGTGTGTCCACCCCAGGGTCAGATGATGATAACCCCACCCATGTATGCTCACATGCTCCACCATCTGATGGCGCTGGCTAAAGGCAGGGTCTGTGTTGCTCTAGAGGTAAGTGTCATGTGTCATCTAGTATTTCATGTCATATGTCATCTCCAGTGTTCCTTGTCATATGTCATCATGTGTTCCATGTCATATGTCATCACAAGTGTTCCATGTCATATGTCATCTTGTGTTCCATGTCATATGTAATCTGCAGTGTTCCATGTCATATGTCATCTAGTATTTCATGTCATATGTCATTACCAGTGTTCCATGTCATATGTCATCTAGTATTTCATGTCATATGTCATTACCAGTGTTCCATGTCATATGTCATCTAGTATATCATGTCATATGTCATTACCAGTGTTCCATGTCATATGTCATCTAATATTTCATGTCATTACCAGTGTTCCATGTCATATGTTATCACCAGTGTTCCTTGTCATATGTCATCTCTAGTATTTCATGTCATATGTCATCTCTAGTGTTTCATGTCATATGTCAGTTGACATACAGATACTGAATACAAATTAAGAAAATGGCAAAAATAATTAACACACACTTAATTAATGAATGATTTCCTTGATTGTTGTTTTAACAAGGGAGGCTACTGTATCAAGTCACTGTCAGAGGGCTGTGCTCTCACACTGAGGAGTTTGTTGCAAGACCCCTGCCCCCAGCTGCCTGCATTGGCTGAACCCTCAGACAGGTAAACCCTCAGACAGGTAAACCCTCAGACAGGTAAACCCTCAGACAGGTAAACCTCAGACAGGTAAACCCTCAGACAGGTAAACCCTCAGACAGGTAAACCCTCAGACAGGTAAACCCTCAGGCAGGTAAATCCTCAGACAGGTAAACCATCAGACAGGTAAAACCTCAGACAGGTAAACCATCAGACAGGTAAACCCTCAGACAGGTAAACCCTCAGACAGGTAAACCCCAGACAGGTAAACCCCTGCCCCCAGCTGCCAGCATTGGCTGAACCCTCAGACAGGTAAACCCTCAGACAGGTAAACCCTCAGACAGGTAAACCCCTGCCCCCAGCTGCCAGCATTGGCTGAACCCTCAGACAGGTAAACCCTCAGTAAACCCTCAGACAGGTAAACCATCAGACAGGTAAACCCTCAGATAGGTAAACCCTCAGACAGGTAAACCCCTGCCCCCAGCTGCCAGCATTGGCTGAACCCTCAGACAGGTAAACCCTCAGACAGGTAAACCCTCAGTAAACCCTCAGACAGGTAAACCCTCAGTAAACCCTCAGACAGGTAAACCCTCAGACAGGTAAACCATCAGACAGGTAAACCCTCAGACAGGTAAACCCGCAGACAGGTAAACCCGCAGACAGGTAAACCCTCAGTAAACCCTCAGACAGGTAAACCCTCAGTAAACCCTCAGACAGGTAAACCATCAGACAGGTAAACCCTCAGTAAACCCTCAGACAGGTAAACCCATGCCTCCAGCTGCCAGCATTGGCTGAACCCTCAGACAGGTAAACCCTCAGTAAACCCTCAGACACGTAAACCCCTGCCCCCAGCTGCCAGCATTGGCTGAACCCTCAGACAGGTAAACCATCAGACAGGTAAACCCTCAGACAGGTAAACCCTCAGACAGGTAAACCCTCAGACAGGTAAACCCTCAGATAGGTAAACCCTCAGACAGGTAAACCCCTGCCCCAGCTCCTTGCATTGACTGGACCTGTCACTGTTTCAATGCTAACGATTTAAACAAATGGCTTTAATACTTAGGTTACTCCTTGCAATTTTCATTGAATTATTTCCCCAACATCACCACAACCATTTCACCCACAGCATCATCACAACCATTTCACTCACAGCATCACCACAACCATTTCACCCACAGCATCACCACAACCATTTCACCCACAGCATCACCACAACCATTTCACCCACAGCATCACCACAACCATTTCACCCACAGCATCACCACAATCATTTCACCCACAACATCACCACAACCATTTCACCCACAGCATCACCACAACCATTTCACCCACAGCATCACCACAACCATTTCACCCACAGCATCACCACAACCATTTCACCCACAGCATCACCACAACCATTTCACCCACAGCATCACCACAACCATTTCACCCACAGCATCACCACAACCATTTCACCCACAGCATCATCACAACCATTTCACCCACAGCATCACCACAACCATTTCACCCACAGCATCACCACAACCATTTCACCCACAGCATCACCACAACCATTTCACCCACATCATCACCACAACCATTTCACCCACATCATCACCACAACCATTTAACCCACAGCATCACCACAACCATTTCACCCACAGCATCACCACAACCATTTCTCCAACATCATCATCACAACCATTTCACCCACAGCATCACCACAACCATTCCACCCACAGCATCACCACAACCATTTCACCCACAGCATCATCACAACCATTTCACCCACAGCATCACCACAACCATTTCACCCACAGCATCACCACAACCATTTAACCCACAGCCTCACCACAACCATTTCACCCACAGCATCACCACAACCATTTCACCCACAGCATCACCACAACAATTTTGAACCTGGTGAAAGTGCTCCACCCGTACTGGAATTGTTTTAAGCACTTCAAGAAACTGGACAAGTTTGAAAAATGTGTTTACTCCGAGGTCAACAACACACCACCTGTGTAAGTCATGTGTTCAGCTCACACCTCTCAATCCTGATTGCTAATATTTAATCTTGTTACCTCCCCTTTTAGTCTTGAATTTACTAATTTTTAAATTAAATTTGAATGACTAATCTCATTGCTATTAAGATAAAAGATAGATTTTCTTATATTATCAATGGAGATTAACGTAGCTAAAAATTTTGAATGAAATTGAAAAATGAAGTGGGTTAAAATTGTGGGTTACAGGATTTGCCACAACCCACATACATTGTGAACAAAATAAAGTTACAGGTAAATATATCCAGAGTTTCTTTCATCCCCCCCCTGAAGAAAGTCTACCGCCCCCAGGATCGAAATGAAATTAATATAGAAAATATACTTTTACCAGTGTCCGCCCCCGGAAAATGTCAAAATGTCGCGCACCCCCCACCAAAAAAAAAAATCAAGTGTACCCCCCTGGAGAAAAAAGTCTGGAAGAAACACTGAATATATCTGTAGTTGTAAAAAGTACAGATCACTGAATTCATTTGCTTAATTTATTAGATCTAGAGTCTATTTTCTTTTCTCTAATGGTGTTTGAAACCCCCCCCCCCCCTCCTCCCCAGCCCAGGTGTGGTGTTTGTGACACCTGAGAACAAGCCCAAGACGTACGACCTGATGGGCTTCTACCCCGTACAAGATCTACAGACCAGGCAAAACTTTGCCAACCAGATTGATGATGTCATCAGGGAGACCAATCTTTCTGTGGCCGGAACCAGGTCAGGGGAATGGGTGGGGCAGGGGGATAGGCGGGGCAGGGGGATGGGCGGGGCAGGGGGATGGGCGGGGCAGGGGGATGGGTGGGGCAGGGGATGGGTGGGGCAGGGGATGGGTGGGGCAGGGGGATGGGTGGGGCAGGGGATGGGTGGGGCAGGGGATGGGTGGGGCAGGGGGATGGGTGGGGCAGGGGATGGGTGGGGCAGGGGGATGGGCGGGGCAGGGGGATGGGTGGGGCAGGGGATGGGTGGGGCAGGGGGATGGGTGGGGCAGGGGGATGGGTGGGGCAGGGGGATGGGTGGGGCAGCGGGATGGGTGAGATGGGGCAGGGGATGGGTGGGGCAGGGGGATGGGTGGGGCAGGGGGATGGGTGGGGCAGGGGATGGGTGGGGCAGGGGGATGGGTGGGGCAGGGGATGGGTGGGGCAGGGGGATGGGTGGGGCAGCGGGATGGGTGAGATGGGGCAGGGGATGGGTGGGGCAGGGGGATGGGTGGGGCAGGGGATGGTTGGGGCAGGGGGATGGGTGGGGCAGGGGATGGGTGGGGCAGGGGGATGGGTGGGGCAGGGGATGGGTGGGGCAGGGGGATGGGTGGGGCAGGGGATGGGTGGGGCAGGGGGGTGGGTGGGGCAGGGGATGGGCGGGGCAGGGGATGGGCGGGGCAGGGGGATGGGTGGGGCAGGGGATGGTTGGGGCAGGGGGATGGGTGGGCAGGGGATGGGTGGGCAGGGGATGGTTGGGCAGCGGGGTGGGGGGATGGTTGGGGCAGGTGATGGTTGGGGCAGGGGATGGGTGGGGCGGGGGATGGGTGGGGTGGGGGGATGGGTGAGTGGGGTGAGGCAGGGGATGGTTGGGCAGCGGGATGGGTGGGGCAGGGGGATGGGTGGGTGTGGCAGGGTGATGTGTGGGGCAGGGGATGGGTGGGGCAGGGAGATGGGTGGGGTGGGGGGATGGGTGGGTGAGATGGGGCAGGGGATGGTTGGGCAAGGGGATGGGTGGGGCGGGGGGATGGGTGGGGTGGGGGGATGGGTGGGGCAGGGGATGGGTGGGGCAGGGGGATGGGTCGGGCAGCGGGATGGGTGAGTGGGGTGGGGGGATGGGTGGGGCAGGGAATGGGTGGGTGGGACGGGGGGGATGGTGGGCGGGGATGTTTGGGCAGTCTATAACAGAAGCTTTCTTATGTCTTGCCACAGGTGCTGCTACACCTATGATTCCCAGATGAGAGACCACAAAAACATGTTCTCATCGTAAGTCAGCTTTTGTCAACATTACTTCATGACTCAGTAGCTTTGTTGACTTTATGGTTCTGTGACTCCCTAGTTGCTTGACTCCATGGTTCTGTGACTCCCTAGTTGCTTGACTCCATGGTTCTATGACTTCTAGTTGCTTGACTCCATGGTTCTGTGACTCTCTAGTTGCTTGACTCCATGGTTCTATGACTTCTAGTTGCTTGACTCCATGGTTCTGTGACTCTCTAGTTGCTTGACTCCATGGTTCTATGACTTCTAGTTGCTTGGCTCCATATTCTGTGACTCCCTAGTTGCTTGACTCCATGGTTCTATGACTCCCTAGTTGCTTGACTCCATGTTCTATGACTCCCTAGTTGCTTGACTCCATGGTTCTGTGACTCCTTGTTCCTAATTCCCTATTGTTCTGCGCAGATCACACCCAGAGCGTCCAGACCGGATCAGCAGTATCCACAAGAAGTTTGTCCAGTGGATGTTGACAGACAGATGTTTGATGGTGCCTGTGAGTTGAAACATTGTCTGACCATTGGTCAATTCTTAAGTTTAGATCAACATTACAAACATCAGTCTGACCATTGGTCAATTCTAAAGTTTAGATCAACATTACAAACATCAGTCTGACCATTGGTCAACTCTAAAGTTTAGATCAACATTACAAACATCAGTCTGACCATTGGTCAACTCTAAAGTTTAGATCAACATTACAATCATCAGTGTAATTGTCTGACCATTGGTCAACTCTAAAGTTTAGATCAACATTACAATCATCAGTGTAATTGTCTGACCATTGGTCAACTCTAAAGTTTAGATCAACATTACAATCATCAGTGTAATTGTCTGACCATTGGTCAACTCTAAAGTTTAGATCAACATTACAATCATCAGTCTGACCATTGGTCAACTCTAAAGTTTAGATCAACATTACAATCATCAGTGTAATCGTCTGACCATTGGTCAACTCTAAAGTTTAGATCAACATTACAATCATCAGTCTGACCATTGGTCAACTCTAAAGTTTAGATCAACATTACAATCATCAGTGTAATTGTCTGACCATTGGTCAACTCTAAAGTTTAGATCAACATTACAATCATCAGTGTAATTGTCTGACCATTGGTCAACTCTAAAGTTTAGATCAACATTACAATCATCAGTGTAATTGTCTGACCATTTGTCAACTCTAAAGTTTAGATCAACATTACAATCATCAGTGTAATTGTCTGACCATTTGTCAACTCTAAAGTTTAGATCAACATTACAATCATCAGTGTAATTGTCTGACCATTTGTCAACTCTAAAGTTTAGATCAACATTACAATCATCAGTGTAATTGTCTGACCATTTGTCAACTCTAAAGTTTAGATCAACATTACAAACATCAGTCTGACCATTGGTCAGATCTAAAGTTTAGATCAACATTACAAACATCAGTGTAATTGTCTGACCATTGTACAACTCATCAAATATTAGTCAACAGCTTTATCAAGGTCATTTGTTTGATTTTTTCAGTCTCGACTTGCAAAGAAATCTGAAATACTTTGGATACACACGTAAGTGCATTCAATTAACATAATTTAATGTCCTTAATCATGATGTATTTATTTCCTTTAAATTATTTTCCTTAAACAAGTTAACCAGATTAACCAAGTCATTTAACCAATTAAACCAGTTTAACCCAATAGCCTGTCTGTTTCAGGGAGAACTACCTTGAGGAGCTTCAGTCTACAGAGTCTCTGGGAGAAAATGAGCTGAGAGATTTCCCCAGTCGAAATGGTTATTCTTCCATCTACCTGCACCAGGTATGTCTTGCTAGACGGTTCACCTCACTGCCCTGACCACCCCAGCCCTCACCACCCCAGCCCTGACCACCCCAGCCCTGACCACCCCAGCCCTGACCACCCCAGTCCTGACCACCCCAGCCCTGACCACCCCAGCCCTGACTACCCCAGCCCTGACCACCCCACCCCAGCCCTGACCACCCCACCCCAGTCCTGACCACCCCAGCCCTGACCACCCCAGTCCTGACCACCCCACCCCAGTCCTGACCACCCCAGCCCAGCCCTGACCACCCCAGCCCTGACCACCCCACCCCAGTCCTGACCACCCCAGTCCTGACCACCCCAGCCCTGACCACCCCACCCCAGCCCTGACCACCCCAGCCCTGACCACCCCAGCCCTGACCACCCCAGCCCTGACTACCCCAGCCCTGACCACCCCAGTCCTGACCACCCCACCCCAGCCCTGACCACCCCACCCCAGCCCTGACCACCCCAGCCCTGACCACCCCAGTCCTGACCACCCCACCCCAGTCCTGACCACCCCAGCCCTGACCACCCCACCCCAGCCCTGACCACCCAACCCTGACCACCCCAGCCCTGACCACCCTCTACCATGTGTACTTGAACCAGCTGTATCAGAGCCTCAACACATTTTTTCTCTCCTCCTCCAGAAATCTTTGTACTGTGCCCTGTTGGCTTGTGGTAGTGTCCTCAATGTAGTGGAGGCAGTTCTCACTGGCCAGGTAAGATTCCAACTGACAGACTTTAGAGAACGTGTGTACATACAGACAGCAGATATCTTTACAATACAACCCAAAACTGAAATCCAAAATTGTCTTTTTCTTTTACCAGGCTCAAAGTGGAGTTGCAATAGTTAGGTAAGGTTTATCTGTTGAGTTTATTTGTTGCACATTTTTCATTGGTTAAGGCTGGATGTTTGTTGTATGTTGTTGCTACCTGTGGAGACAACCTGACACCAACAAACTTTATCCCACAGGCCACCTGGCCACCACGCAGAGTTCAACACGGCCATGGGATTTTGTTTCTTCAACAATGTGGCCGTCGCAGCCAAGTTGGCCCAGAAAAAATTCAATGTGAAAAAGTAAGTCTCGATTGGCTTAAGCACCCATCTGTTTCAGGGTTAGTGTGATGTTGACTAAAGCACCCATCTGTTTCAGGGTTCTGATCGTTGACTAAAGCACCCATCTGTTTCAGGGTTCTCATCATTGACTAAAGCACCCATCTGTTTCAGGGTTAGTGTAATGTTGACTAAAGCACCCATCTGTTTCAGGGTTCTGATCGTTGACTAAAGCACCCATCTGTTTCAGGGTTAGTGTGATGTTGACTAAAGCACCCATCTGTTTCAGGGTTATTGTGATGTTGACTAAAGCACCCATCTGTTTCAGGGTTAGTGTAATGTTGACTAAAGCACCCATCTGTTTCAGGGTTCTGATCGTTGACTAAAGCACCCATCTGTTTCAGGGTTAGTGTGATGTTGACTAAAGCACCCATCTGTTTTAGGGTTAGTGTGATGTTGACTAAAGCACCCATCTGTTTCAGGGTTCTGATCATTGACTAAAGCACCCATCTGTTTCAGGGTTCTGATCGTTGACTAAAGCACCCATTTGTTTCAGGGTTAGTGTGATGTTGACTAAAGCAGCCATCTGTTTCAGGGTTCTGATCATTGACTAAAGCACCCATCTGTTTCAGGGTTCTGATTGTTGACTAAAGCACCCATTTGTTTCAGGGTTCTGATAGTTGACTGGGATGTTCACCATGGTAACGCCACACAACACCAGTTCTACAGGGACCCCAGGTAACTGATTGTAGTCTCCGACACAGGGTTGTGTGATGATTGTCTCATTCATTAAGGGTTGTGTGATGATTGTCTCAATCATTAAGGGTTGTGTGATGATTGTCTCAATCATTAAGGGTTGTGTGATGATTGTCTCAATCATTAAAGGTTGTGTGATGATTGTCTCAATATTAAGGGTTGTGTGATGATTGTCTCAATTATTAAGGTTTGTGTAATGATTGTCTCAATCATAAAGGATTGTATGATGATTGTCTCAATCACTCACTTCCCTGCTACATCAGGAACCCATGGTGTGTCTTGTCCCCAACTTACACAAATATGTCCTGGTCCCCACCTGACACAAATATGTCCTGGTCCCCACCAAATATGTCCTGGTCCCAACCAAATATGTCCTGGTCCCCACCCTCACACAAATATGTCCTGGTCCCAACCAAATATGTCCTGGTCCCCACCTGACACAAATATGTCCTGGTCCCAACCAAATATGTCCTGGTCCCCACCTGACACAAATATGTCCTGGTCCCAACCAAATATGTCCTGGTCCCAACCAAATATGTCCTGGTCCCAACCAAATCTGTCCTGGTCCCCACCTGACACAAATATGTCCTGGTCCCCACCTGACACAAATATGTCCTGGTCCCCACCAAATATGTCCTGGTCCCAACCAAATATGTCCTGGTCCCCACCCTCACACAAATATGTCCTGGTCCCAACCAAATATGTCCTGGTCCCAACCAAATATGTCCTGGTCCCCACCAAATATGTCCTGGTCCCAACCAAATATGTCCTGGTCCCCACCAAATATGTCCTGGTCCCCCACCTGACACAAATATGTCCTGGTCCCAACCAAATATGTCCTGGTCCCAACCAAATATGTCCTGGTCCCAACCAAATATGTCCTGGTCCCAACCAAATATGTCCTGGTCCCCACCTGACACAAATATGTCCTGGTCCCCACCAAATATGTCCTGGTCCCCACCTGACACAAATATGTCCTGGTCCCCACCAAATATGTCCTGGTCCCCACCTGACACAAATATGTCCTGGTCCCAACCAAATATGTCCTGGTCCCAACCAAATATGTCCTGGTCCCCACCTGACACAAATATGTCCTAGTCCCAACCAAATATGTCCTGGTCCCAACCAAATATGTCCTGGTCCCAACCAAAAATGTCCTGGTCCCCACCTGACACAAATATGTCCTAGTCCCAACCAAATATGTCCTGGTCCCCACCTGACACAAATATGTTCTGGTCCCAACCAAATATGTCCTGGTCCCAACCAAATATGTCCTGGTCCCAACCAAATCTGTCCTGGTCCCAACCAAATATGTCCTGGTCCCAACCAAATATGTCCTGGTCCCAACCTGACACAAATATGTCCTGGTCCCCACCTGACACAAATATGTCCTGGTCCCCACCTGACACAAATATGTCCTGGTCCCCACCTGACACAAATATGTCCTGGTCCCAACCAAATATGTCCTGGTCCCAACCAAATATGTCCTGGTCCCCACCTGACACAAATATGTCCTGGTCCCCACCTGACACAAATATGTCCTGGTCCCAACCAAATATGTCCTGGTCCCAACCAAATATGTCCTGGTCCCAACCAAATATGTCCTGGTCCCCACCTGACACAAATATGTCCTGGTCCCCACCTGACACAAATATGTCCTGGTCCCCTGCCCTGACAGACAACTGGTGTTCTGATACAAGTTGTGTCATAACTGGGACAAATAGTGTGATGAGTATGTTCTGGAACATGTCACTGCTATATGTTCTGGAACTAGTTTCTGCAATATGTTCTGGAACAAGTTGCTGCAGTATGTTCTGGAACAAGTTGCTGCAATATATTCTGGAACAAGTTTCTGCAATATGTTCTGGAACAAGTTGCTGCAGTATGTTCTGGAACAAGTTGCTGCAATATGTTCTGGAACAAGTTTCTGCAATATGTTCTGGAACCAATTAGCTGCAGTATGTTCTGGAACAAGTTGCTGCAGTGTGTTCTGGAACAAGTTGCTGCAGTGTGTTCTGGAACAAGTTGCTGCAATATGCTCTGGAAAAAGTTGCTGAAATATGTTCTGGAGCAAGTTGCTGCACTGTGTTATGGAACAAGTTGCTGCAGAATGTTCTGGAACAAGTTTCTGAGATATGTTCTGGAACAAGTAGCTGCTATATGTTTTAACAGTGTTCCTGTTCCCCAGTGTCCTGTACATCTCCCTCCATCGCTATGACAACGGCTCATTCTTCCCCTGCCAGTCCGATGCTGATATGTACCATACAGGAGCCGGGGCCGGGGAAGGCTTCAATGTCAACATTCCCTGGAGTGGGGTAGGCTTTATGTTTCTTGTAGATTGTTTACTTGGGAAAATGTTATATTATATGCGTCAATTAACTGTAAAAAGATATATTTGAAAATTTTTGTGAGATGATTTTAAACTGATTAGAAAATGTTTTTATTATTAAAATAATTCTTTCTAAGAAATAAAAAATTATAATTTCATTAACAAACCTAAAAATGTTTTCATTTTCATTTACTATTCAAAAATAATATTACCGAAAAAAAGTTCCATCTACCAACTAAATAATACCTATATCTACATAAAAAAGATATTTCTATCTACCAACTAAATAATGCCCATATCTACATAAAAAAGATATTTCCATTTACCAATTAAATAATACCTATATCTACATAAAAAAGATATTTCCATCTATCAACTAAATAATACCTATATCTACATAAAAAAGATATTTCCATCTATCAACTAAATAATACCTATATCTACATAAATATTAAAAAAGATATTTCCATTTACCAATTAAATAATACCTATATCTACATAAAAAGATATTTCCATCTACCTTTCAGTCAAAGATGGGAGATGCTGAGTACCTAATGGCCTTCACACAGATCATTATGCCCATTGCCTACCAGGTAAGTTGTACTGCCACAGGTAAGTTATACTGCCCCAGGTAAGTTGTACTGCCCCAGGTAAGTTGTACTGCCACAGGTAAGTTGTACTGCCCCAGGTAAGTTGTACTGCCCCAGGTAAAAAAATTGTTTAAATCCACCAAGATGTAAGATGCATCTGTATAGAAATGTTTGTTGATGATTTGTTTTGTTTCCCCAGTTTGCTCCAGATCTAGTGTTGGTCAGTTCTGGCTTTGATTCAGCTGTATAGAAATGTTTGTTGATGATTTGTTTTGTTTCCCCAGTTTGCTCCAGATCTAGTGTTGGTCAGTGCTTTGATTCAGCTGTATAGAAATGTTTGTTTATGATGGTTTGTTTTGTTTCCCCAGTTTGCTCCAGATCTAGTGTTGGTCAGTGCTTTGATTCAGCTGTATAGAAATGTTTGTTGATGGTTTGTTTTGTTTCCCCAGTTTGCTCCAGATCTAGTGTTGGTCAGTGCTTTGATTCAGCTGTATAGAAATGTTTGCTGATGATTTGTTTTGTTTCCCCAGTTTGCTCCAGATCAGCTGTATAGAAATGTTTGCTGATGATTTGTTTTGTTTCCCCAGTTTGCTCCAGATCTAGTGTTGGTCAGTGCTTTGATTCAGCTGTATAGAAATGTTTGCTGATGATTTGTTTTGTTTCCCCAGTTTGCTCCAGATCTAGTGTTGGTCAGTGCTTTGATTCAGCTGTATAGAAATGTTTGCTGATGATTTGTTTTGTTTCCCCAGTTTGCTCCAGATCAGCTGTATAGAAATGTTTGCTGATGATTTGTTTTGTTTCCCCAGTTTGCTCCAGATCTAGTGTTGGTCAGTGCTTTGATTCAGCTGTATAGAAATGTTTGCTGATGATTTGTTTTGTTTCCCCAGTTTGCTCCAGATCAGCTGTATAGAAATGTTTGCTGATGATTTGTTTTGTTTCCCCAGTTTGCTCCAGATCTAGTGTTGGTCAGTGCTGTCTTTGATTCAGCTGTATAGAAATGTTTGTTGATGATTTGTTTTGTTTCCCCAGTTTGCTCCAGATCTAGTGTTGGTCAGTGCTTTGATTCAGCTGTATAGAAATGTTTGTTGATGATTTGTTTTGTTTCCCCAGTTTGCTCCAGATCTAGTGTTGGTCAGTGCTTTGATTCAGCTGTATAGAAATGTTTGTTGATGATTTGTTTTGTTTCCCCAGTTTGCTCCAGATCTAGTGTTGGTCAGTGCTGTCTTTGATTCAGCTGTATAGAAATGTTTGTTGATGATTTGTTTTGTTTCCCCAGTTTGCTCCAGATCTAGTGTTGGTCAGTGCTTTGATTCAGCTGTATAGAAATGTTTGCTGATGATTTGTTTTGTTTCCCCAGTTTGCTCCAGATCAGCTGTATAGAAATGTTTGCTGATGATTTGTTTTGTTTCCCCAGTTTGCTCCAGATCAGCTGTATAGAAATGTTTGTTGATGATTTGTTTTGTTTCCCCAGTTTGCTCCAGATCTAGTGTTGGTCAGTGCTGTCTTTGATTCAGCTGTCTAGAAATGTTTGTTGATGATTTGTTTTGTTTCCCCAGTTTGCTCCAGATCTAGTGTTGGTCAGTGCTTTGATTCAGCTGTATAGAAATGTTTGTTGATGATTTGTTTTGTTTCCCCAGTTTGCTCCAGATCTAGTGTTGGTCAGTGCTTTGATTCAGCTGTATAGAAATGTTTGTTGATGATTTGTTTTGTTTCCCCAGTTTGCTCCAGATCTAGTGTTGGTCAGTTCTGGCTTTGATTCAGCTGTTGGGGATCCTCTGGTCAGTTGCCTTCTTCTTACAGTGTCACTTGTATGACTGTCATGGTATGACAGTCCACCTATCATTGTATGACAGTCCACCTATCATTGTATGACAGTCCTATCATTGTATGACAGTCCACCTATCATTGTATGACAGTCTTATCATTGTATGACAGTCTTATCATTGTATGACAGTCCTATCATTGTATGACAGTCCTATCATTGTATGACAGTCCTATCATTGTATGACAGTCCTATCATTGTATGACAGTCTTATCATAATATGACAGTCTTATCATTGTATGACAGTCCTATCATTGTATGACAGTCCTATCATTGTATGACAGTCCTATCATTGTATGACAGTCTTATCATTGTATGACAGTCCTATCATTGTATGACAGTCCTATCATTGTATGACAGTCTTATCATTGTATGACAGTCTTATCATTGTATGACAGTCCACCTATCATTGTATGACAGTCCACCTATCATTGTATGACAGTCCACCTATCATTGTATGACAGTCCACCTATCATTGTATGACAGTCCTATCATTGTATGACAGTCCTATCATTGTATGACAGTCCACCTATCATTGTATGACAGTCCACCTATCATTGTATGACAGCCCGCCTATCATTGTATGACAGCCCGCCTATCAGGGCTGTAATTATCAGCCTACAAAAACAAACTGCCACATATCTAACCCACCCATGTCTATATCTACAGGGTGGCTACAAGGTGACCCCTGCGGGTTATGCACACATGACCCACATGCTCATGGGTCTAGCCAATGGGAGAGTTGTCCTAGCTTTGGAGGTGAGTCTCTCTAACTTAGCTCTCTAGCTCTATGTAATAGATCTGTCATAACCTTAAGCTCTTTAGCTCTCTACCATCTGACAGCAATAGTTTGACCTAACCTTGACCTAACCCCTGTAACTGAAGCAGTTTGACATAACCTTGACCTAACACCTGTGACCATAGCAGTTTGACTTAACCTTGACCTATGACACAGGAGCAGTTTGACCTAACCTTGACCTAACCCCTGTGACAGGAGCAGTTTGACCTTACCTTGATCTAACTCCTTTTACTGGAGCAGTTTGACCTAACCTTGACCTAATCCCTGTGACTAGAGCATTGACCTCACCTTGACTTAACCCCAGTGACTGGAGCAATTCAATTTGACCTAACCTTGACCTAACCCTGTGACTGGAGCAGTTTGACTTAACCTTCACCTATGTGACAGGATCAGTTTGACCTAACCTTGACCTAACCTTGACCTAACCCCTGTGACTGGAGCAGTTTCTGATCCCACAGGGTGGTTACAACCTCTACTCCATCTCCGAGTGTATGGCTGCCTGCACCTCTGTCCTGCTGGGTGACCCCTGTCCTGCCCTGACCAAGCTTGACCCCTGTGACAGGTAAGTTGACCATCAGAGCTCTACTTCCCCTACTCTCAACACCTAAAAACTGGCCATCAGGTCTGAGACTTTAGTCATAAACATCTGAGTACCAACTTTGGGTACCAACCTAATGCTATCATATTTAGCATTTAGTTGTAACTCAGAGAGTTAAGCCTTAACATTAACAAAATGGCCAACAATTCCTGCTGTTGCTATGGTGAGTAGTGGCATCTTAGATTTTATCTATGAGGTGGAAGACTACAATCATAAACATTTGATTAGATGACTACAATCATGCACATTTGATTAGATGACTACAATCATGAACATTTGATTAGATGACTACAATCATGCACATTTGATTAGATTACTACAATCATGCACATTTGATTAGATGACTACAATCATGAATATTTGATTAGATAGAAGATTACAATCATGAACATTTTATTAGATTACTACAATCATGAACATTTGATTAGATAGGAGACTACAATCATGAACATTTGATTAGATGACTACTATCATGAACATTTCATTAGATAGAAGACTACAATCATGAACATTTGATTAGATGACTACAATCATGAACATTTGATTAGATAGAAGATTACAATCATGAACATTTTATTAGATTACTACAATCATGAACATTTGATTAGATGACTACAATCATGAATATTTGATTAGATAGAAGATTACTATCATGAACATTTGATTAGATTACTACAATCATGAACATTTGATTAGATAGGAGACTACAATCATGAACATTTGATTAGATTACTACAATCATGAACATTTGATTAGATAAGAGACTACAATCATGAACATTTGATTAGATGACTACTATCATGAAAATTTCATTAGATAGAAGACTACAATCATGCACATTTGATTAGATAGGAGCCTAAAATCAAGAAGAAATGTTCTGAAAATGGTCGTAGTGGTTTTATATTTTTTTTGGTGTAAAACTGAGATTTTCCAAAAAAGGAAATTGCTACTTGTCAAGTCCAAGATTGAGCTACTAAGTTATCTCTCTTATTCAATTTGTTTAGTGAAAGGGGACATAACCGTAGAAATCCTGACACAAGGAGATGTAATCAATTTCATGGTTTCGTTTAGTTGCACTCAAATGGAATGAAATCTGACACATTAGCTTCCCCTGAGTTGGGTGGTGTCTGTTGGCTGAGATTCGCTTGTCTGTTTGTAAGGGAAGGTTTGTTAGACATTACTGAGGCACATTTGTCCTGATGTAACATCACATTTGTCCTGATGTAACATCACATTTGTCCTGATGTAACATCACATTTGTCCTGATGTAACATCACATTTGTCCTGACTGTAACATCACATTTGTCCTGACTGTAACATCACATTTGTCCTGATGTAACATCACATTTGTCCTGGCAATATAAGACTAGTTTTCTTTTTTTGGCTGTGTTAAATTTGTCTAGTTTTCTTTTGTTGGCCGTGTTAAATGTGTCTAGTTTTCTTTTGTTGACAGTGTTAAATGTGTCTAGTTTTCTTTTGTTGGCCGTGTTAAATGTGTCTAGTTTTCTTTTGTTGGCCGTGTTAAATGTGTCTAGTTTTCTTTTGTTGGCCGTGTTAAATGTGTCTAGTTTTCTTTTGTTGACCGTGTTAAATGTGTCTAGTCTTCTTTTGTTGGCCGTGTTAAATGTGTCTAGTTTTCTTTTGTTGACCGTGTTAAATTTGTCTAGTTTTCTTTTGTTGGCCGTGTTAAATGTGTCTAGTTTTCTTTTGTTGGCCGTGTTAAATGTGTCTAGTTTTCTTTTGTTGACCGTGTTAAATGTGTCTAGTTTTCTTTTGTTGGCCGTGTTAAATGTGTCTAGTTTTCTTTTGTTGGCCGTGTTAAATGTGTCTAGTTTTCTTTTGTTGGCCGTGTTAAATGTGTCTAGTTTTCTTTTGTTGGCCGTGTTAAATGTGTCTAGTTTTCTTTTGTTGACCGTGTTAAATGTGTCTAGTTTTCTTTTGTTGACCGTGTTAAATGTGTCTAGTTTTCTTTTGTTGGCCGTGTTAAATGTGTCTAGTTTTCTTTTGTTGGCCGTGTTAAATGTGTCTAGTTTTCTTTTGTTGGCCGTGTTAAATGTGTCTAGTTTTCTTTTGTTGGCCGTGTTAAATGTGTCTAGTTTTCTTTTGTTGACCGTGTTAAATGTGTCTAGTTTTCTTTTGTTGACCGTGTTAAATGTGTCTAGTTTTCTTTTGTTGGCCGTGTTAAATGTGTCTAGTTTTCTTTTGTTGGCCGTGTTAAATGTGTCTAGTTTTCTTTTGTTGACCGTGTTAAATGTGTCTAGTTTTCTTTTGTTGGCCGTGTTAAATGTGTCTAGTCTTCTTTTGTTGGCCGTGTTAAATGTGTCTAGTTTTCTTTTGTTGACCGTGTTAAATGTGTCTAGTTTTCTTTTGTTGGCCGTGTTAAATGTGTCTAGTTTTCTTTTGTTGGCCGTGTTAAATGTGTCTAGTTTTCTTTTGTTGACCGTGTTAAATGTGTCTAGTTTTCTTTTGTTGGCCGTGTTAAATGTGTCTAGTTTTCTTTTGTTGGCCGTGTTAAATGTGTCTAGTTTTCTTTTGTTGATCGTGTTAAATGTGTCTAGTTTTCTTTTGTTGGCCGTGTTAAATGTGTCTAGTTTTCTTTTGTTGACCGTGTTAAATGTGTCTAGTTTTCTTTTGTTGACCGTGTTAAATGTGTCTAGTTTTCTTTTGTTGGCCGTGTTAAATTTGTCTAGTTTTCTTTTGTTGACCGTGTTAAATGTGTCTAGTTTTCTTTTGTTGGCCGTGTTAAATGTGTCTAGTTTTCTTTTGTTGGCCGTGTTAAATGTGTCTGGTTTTCTTTTGTTGACCGTGTTAAATGTGTCTAGTTTTCTTTTGTTGACCGTGTTAAATGTGTCTAGTTTTCTTTTGTTGGCCGTGTTAAATTTGTCTAGTTTTCTTTTGTTGACCGTGTTAAATGTGTCTAGTTTTCTTTTGTTGACCGTGTTAAATGTGTCTAGTTTTCTTTTGTTGACCGTGTTAAATGTGTCTAGTTTTCTTTTGTTGGCCGTGTTAAATGTGTCTAGTTTTCTTTTGTTGGCCGTGTTAAATGTGTCTAGTTTTCTTTTGTTGGCCGTGTTAAATGTGTCTAGTTTTCTTTTGTTGACCGTGTTAAATGTGTCTAGTTTTCTTTTGTTGACCGTGTTAAATGTGTCTAGTTTTCTTTTGTTGGCCGTGTTAAATGTGTCTAGTTTTCTTTTGTTGACCGTGTTAAATGTGTCTAGTTTTCTTTTGTTGACCGTGTTAAATGTGTCTAGTTTTCTTTTGTTGACCGTGTTAAATGTGTCTAGTTTTCTTTTGTTGACCGTGTTACATGTGTCTAGTTTTCTTTTGTTGGCCGTGTTAAATGTGTCTAGTTTTCTTTTGTTGGCCGTGTTAAATGTGTCTAGTTTTCTTTTGTTGGCCGTGTTAAATGTGTCTAGTTTTCTTTTGTTGGCCGTGTTAAATGTGTCTAGTTTTCTTTTGTTGGCCGTGTTAAATGTGTCTAGTTTTCTTTTGTTGACCGTGTTAAATGTGTCTAGTTTTCTTTTGTTGGCCGTGTTAAATTTGTCTAGTTTTCTTTTGTTGACCGTGTTAAATGTGTCTAGTTTTCTTTTGTTGACCGTGTTAAATGTGTCTAGTTTTCTTTTGTTGGCCGTGTTAAATGTGTCTAGTTTTCTTTTGTTGACCGTGTTAAATGTGTCTAGTTTTCTTTTGTTGACCGTGTTAAATGTGTCTAGTTTTCTTTTGTTGACCGTGTTAAATGTGTCTAGTTTTCTTTTGTTGGCCGTGTTAAATGTGTCTAGTTTTCTTTTGTTGGCCGTGTTAAATGTGTCTAGTTTTCTTTTGTTGGCCGTGTTAAATGTGTCTAGTTTTCTTTTGTTGGCCGTGTTAAATGTGTCTAGTTTTCTTTTGTTGGCCGTGTTAAATGTGTCTAGTTTTCTTTTGTTGGCCGTGTTAAATGTGTCTAGTTTTCTTTTGTTGGCCGTGTTAAATTTGTCTAGTTTTCTTTTGTTGGCCGTATTAAATTTGTCTAGTTTTCTTTTGTTGGCCGTGTTAAATTTGTCTAGTTTTGTTTTGTTGGCCGTGTTAAATGTGTCTAGTTTTCTTTTGTTGGCCGTGTTAAATTTGTCTAGTTTTCTTTTGTTGGCTGTGTTAAATGTGTCTAGTTTTCTTTTGTTGACCGTGTTAAATTTGTCTAGTTTCACTTAAAAACTGCTTTAGATTAATTGCTGCAAGATGGCTGCTTCCCCCCCCCCCCCCTTCTGAAGCAGTAGTTAAAGTAGGCAAGTAGCTGCAGGCACCAGTCTACCTTCATCTGCTAACACAGGGCAGGGACTGCTACTTCTCTGTCTACATATTGATGGGGGGGGGGGGGCAATGTTGGTCGTGGGGAGCCCTTTTATGTGGGGCCAGGGTGACAGCCCTTTAATGTGGGGCCCTTTAATGTGGGGCCCTTTAATGTGGGGCCCTTTAATGTGGGGCTATGGTGACAGCCCTTTAATGTGGGGCCAGAGTGACAGCCCTTTAATGTGGGGCCAGGGTGACAGCCCTTTATTGTGGGGCCCTTTAATGTGGGGCCAGAGTGACCGCCCTTTAATGTGGGGCCATGGTGACAGCCCTTTAATGTGGGGCCATGGTGACAGCCCTTTAATGTGGGGCCCTTTAATGTGGGGCCCTTTAATGTGGTGCCATGGTGACAGCCCTTTAATATGGGGCCCTTTAATGTGGGGCCAGAGTGACCGCCCTTTAATGTGGGGCCCTTTAATGTGGGGCCAGAGTGACCGCCCTTTAATGTGGGGCCAGGGTGACAGCCCTTTAATATGGGGCCCTTTAATGTGGGGCCAGAGTGACCGCCCTTTAATGTGGGGCCCTTTAATGTGGGGCCAGAGTGACCGCCCTTTAATGTGGGGCCATGGTGACAGCCCTTTAATGTGGGGCCAGAGTGACAGCCCTTTAATGTGGGGCCAGGGTGACAGCCCTTTAATGTG